CTCTTCTATCTGCTGGACGAAGAGAGCAAGTGAGTGTCCACAGCCCACTGTATGTGCCAACCCAGGCGCTCAGTCTTCTTCCTGGCACCTTACCCTGAATCCAGACCATCCCTGGGAGCTTCTGAGTTTCTCAGACTCATTTGGCCACAACTCCTGACCTCACAGTTTGCAAAATGCACATATCATTCAGACTCACTGCTGGTCCTGGCACCCCTCCTCCACAGAATGCAAGGAAGGCTGGAAGGGCTATTTCTCAGGTGCCTCTCACTTGATCACCCAGCTGCAACCTCTAAAATTCACTTACTGAATTACTGTCCTGCAGCTGCTGTAATAAATGACCACAAAGCAAGCAGCTTTAAACAATAGGGATTTTTTCTCTCAGCAGTTCTGAAGGCCAGAAATGCAAAATCAGTATCAGTGGACTGGAATGCAGGTGTGGGCAGGGCCCTGCTCCCTCCAAAGGCTCTAGGGGAGAATCTTTCCCCGTCTCTTCCAGTTTCTAGGGGCTCATGGCCGCATCACCCAGTCTCTGCCTCTGGTCACATGGCTTTCTCTTCTTTCTGTCTATGTCTCCCCTCTCCTGATGACCACTCACATGGGGTTAGTGCTCACCCGAACAAGCTCATCTTAACTAAGTTACATCCACAAAGACCCTATTTCTGAATAAGATCATGTTCACAGGTCCTGGGGGTCCAGACTCCGGTGCATCTATCAGCATCTCTGTCGGCCACCAGAGTGAACCAGGCTCACCTTCCAGGCCAAGTCCCTGTCCAGGACTCGGATGGCCATGTTCATTTGCAGCCAGGATCCAGGGAGAGAATGTTCAGATAGGAGAGGGGTCAAGAAGCTAGGAAAGGTTTAAATCGTCTTTCCCAGGATACCCCCCAGACCTGCATCTGGGGGAGAAATGTGAGGCAGCCTCAGGCTGATCTGTCTTTATTTAAAAACTTGTTCATCACAGATTTGGATTTTATCAAACAGTGTGCTAAAATGTACTTTACACCAATGATGGAGTGAGTGGACCCCTTGCTCCCCACACCCTCTCCAGCCCCCAGAAACAGCGTGCTTCGTAGTTATAGGTCAACCTCTCCTGGCCCCCTTCGCTCCCCTGTTAAGCCGTGCAGCCCAGGATTGGGGAGTCAGAGGCATATGGTACTGCCCGTGTCTCTGGCAAGGCCCGGCACGGGTTGGGCATACCGAAGCCCACTGGGCGTTTCCTCCCCGGAAGGCAGACATACTCAGGTACACAGGTTCCTCATTCTGTCCCCACCCCTCTGCCTGCTTCATCCCCATCTCCCAGCCCCTCCCTGTAATAGGGGAGCATGGGTAAGACACCCCTACCCCCACCACAGGGTACAGACAGATCCAAGACCAGAAGTCACCCCATCCTGGGATTACTCCCAGCAGCTGCCCACAGCAGGCCCAGGTTCCAGTCTTGTCTGAATGTTCATTGGGCTACTCTGCCCACCTCATTCTGCAGTCCTGAGTATCTCATTTTGCCCTCGGGCCATGTGTTCAGCTTCACCACCCAGAGCAGCCCAGGCAGGCGCCCACCCGCCTCCTCCATGGAGGGCCCGGGACCTGGAATACAAAGCGGGCGATCAAGCCGCTCTTCCTGCAGCTAAAGGTTTTAAATCCTCCTCCCAGCTTTCCCCATGCCACGAGCCAGACCCTGCTGGCCAAGTTCAAGCAGCAGCATGAAGACAACAGGTACTTCCTGGGCACACCCGTCTTGGAGCCAGCTTTCATCATCCAGCACTTCGCAGGGAAAGTGAAATATCAGATCAAGGTGTGCACCCATTGGTTGCCATTAGCAGCCGAATTACCCTCTGCTCGGGAAGTGGGAAAGGGACCATGTGGGCGTCCCAGAGGCCCCTTCCCTCTGCCTCTTGCTCTGTCCTTTCCTCTTATTAGACTGGGTGAGGACTGGGGTTCTGTCAGACCCAGTGCCCCAAATCCCTGGCTATACTGTGGAAGGCAGTGAGTGAACCAGGCTCATCTTCCAGGGCAGGTCCCTGTCCAGGAATCGGATGGCCATGTCCATTTGCAGCCAGGATCCAAAGAGAGAATGTTCAGATAGGAGAGGGGTCAAGAAGCTGGGAAAGCTACCCAGAGGCACAACCCGCCTCTCTGTGGTAGACAAGGGTCCCATCCCACTACCACCCCTTCACGTGCCCGCCCCTAGGGCCATAGCAATCTCTGACATGTGACCACCCACCTCCAACTCCCTGCCAGGACTTCCGGGAGAAGAACATGGACTACATGCGCCCGGACATTGTGGCCCTCCTCCGGGGCAGCGACAGCTCCTACGTGCGGGAGCTCATCGGCATGGACCCCGTGGCTGTGTTCCGCTGGGCTGTGCTCCGAGCCTCCATCCGGGCCATGGCCGTGCTTCGGGAGGCTGGGCGCCTGCGGGCTGAGAGAGCCGAGAAGGCTGCAGGTAGCAAGGGACCCCCAACCATCCCTGTCAATGCGGGGACCCTGAGGGTCCCTCTTAAAGTGTCAAGTTCTGTGGCACTTAGCACCTCCACATTGCCATACAGCCATCCCCTCTGTGTAGCTCCAGAACGTTTTCATCTTCCTAGATAGAAATGCTGTATCAGGGTATATCTTTTAACTTCATCATCTTCCCAAAGCAGGAGACATGCCCCATGTCTCTTTAAGGACACCCTGAGGCCCAGGATGACTGCATGGCTCCCCCAGGGGCACTCGGCTCCAGACGCCAGGAGTGGGGCTATGTTTCATGAAGGGCATTGACTAAAAGGGGACTGACAGGACCAGGCCTTTACAATAAGCAGGACTAAATGGCATGGTTTAGGGGGAAGACCAAAACATTTTAACATTCCCTGCTATGACCAAATTTGAGTGTCAGGCTGTTTTCTTAAAATGAGTTCAAATCAGGATCTCAGCCTCTGTGGTAGAGACAGAGGCCTTTCGGCTCTGGGTATACCCCACTCCACCTCTACCACCCACCAAATTCCATCTACTCTCTGTACCCAGAAGGTCTGGGCATCTCCGGCACCCAAAGCCACGCAGCAGAGCCGCAGAGAGGAGCCAGCACCCCGTCGGAAAAGCTGTTCCGGTGAGCAAGACCTTGATTTGTCCAAACTGAGGTCACTAGGCAACTGCATTATTAAAACAAGGCCAGAAACCCTACCCCGCAAACCCAGGCTGGGGTTGACCCAAATAAGGAACCCCAAAGCCCTTTGAACCAAAAAGACCCAGAAACAATGGCATCTGGTGGCCGCTTTTCTGCGCACAGAAAGGGAGGCCTCCCTGCGTCGTCTGCATTAGGGCTCAGCGTATAGACGGTCCTTTTCATGGCCGGGGGAATGGGGCCAGGGTGTCACTGGTCTCGCTGAGCAACAACTTCATGTAAATGGAGTTCCTCCCTTCGCCAGGCTGGGTTATGCCCAAGCAGATCTGCTAAGATACTTTGCCTGCAGTGAGAAACCCAAGGTGCCCTGTGGCCCACCAGATAACGCAGGGTGTTCTTTGGCCACCCCACAATGACTAAGGGGTCTCCACATACCCTGGTTTGTGCTGAGTATAAACATGAGCAGGGATGCACTCCCAAGGGGCAAGTTGAGAAAGGCCACACAGGACAGACCCCAGGCAATGACAAAGTTGGAGGAGGGACACTTCTGGCAACTTGTGAGAGCCAAGCAGGCTGAAGTCCCTGAAAAGGGAAAGGGATTGAGCTGGACAAGGAAGGCAGGGTGCACTGGAGTGGGAAGGGGACACCAGCACATGCAAAGGCCCTAGGGCAGCCAAGTCCCCAACTTCTCTCCCAAGATTCACAAATACCCAAGGAGCACGTGACTGTTTTCAAATGTGAAAAGGTCACTTTATTTTTGAGCCCTCTGTTCGAAAAATTTCCTCAAGAGGTTCATAAGAGTTTGTGTGTGGATACCAAACTAAGCCCTAGGTAACTATGCTTTTGGTCTGAAAGCATGGCATGTCATTTTCCTGCTTTTACAAAGGTGCATTTTCAAATCAGCTCTTTCAAAAAGGGGGCACAAGATAAAAAGCACTTACCCTATTTGCTTATGGGTCATTGCTTTTAATTCCACTCCGACCACTCCACCCCACCCCCGCAAAGACCAGCCTGCCACCACCAAAGCAAGGCCTGTCTCCCCAGGGCCTGGCCCACGGGCCGCGGGTCCCCCATCCCAGGAGCGCATTCAGTTTATACAGATTCTCCCTTTCAGCTGCTCAATGCTAGATTTCTCATTTGACTGCTCTGAGGAGTTCGATATTAACGCTTTTGAGGACATCATTGCTTTGTATGAAAGCAAGAAGTAAGTAGAAGCGAGGGCCTTCGAACCTGAGACCAGGGAGGCACACAGAGAGAAGCCATTGTCCCCAGGCCTTCAGCACAGCATCCAGGGCCCGGAGAGGGAGATTGGCACACCAGAGCCCTCAGGGGGCACTCTGGCCAGATTTGGCCGGGTTGGGGGGTGCAGATCGAAGCCATGGACCTCTGCACTGACTGCTTTTGGGGTATGGATGCAAAACATGACCCCTCTGTTGTCTTTGCTTTGTGCCTCCCTGGAGGGCGAGGGAACAGAGGTAAGTGGGGCCAGCAAGCCCCAGGCATGGTGCATGGAACACAGACAAGGGGCCGTTGGTTGGGGTCTTTCCAGGCCAACTGCCCAGAGCTTAAACATGTATTTGAGATAACCCAGAATGAGGAATTTACTAAAATGAAATGAAAACCTGATTCGTCCTGTTTGGTCATTACCTTGTTCCCAGAAGTTCCATCAAAGACAATTTGTCATTTATTCTTCATGATAGCCTTTTCCATCCCTAAGCCATTCTCGTTTTCATGCATCAGTATCAAAGGCTGGGCCTACATCCTACGCTCAACACCGAACCCACAGCAACTGGGCCAAACGGAAGCAAACGTGGGAAGAAGATGCCCTTCCATTAGGCTTTCTTGGCCCTCTGCCCAGTCGCTCCCCGCAGTAGGGCCGTCCCATGGAGAATGCGGGGGCTGAGGAGCATCCTGGCCTTGACTCTGCCAGGAACCAACCCTCCACACCCAGCGACGAGAGCCAAAAAAATGTCTCAGGACTTCACCGACCATCCCAGACAGAACTGCTGTGTGCATTCTGGTTCATTCCTCCTGTGGCCTTTCTGGAAGCCAACGAGGAGTTTGACCTGTGGCCACAGAATCACCCAGAGCACTGGGCAAATCACTAAACAGCTGCTTCCCACAGAGACTCTGGTTTTCCCTTTTCCCTTGCTCCTTGATTCCAGAAGTCCTCTTGCAGAGGAGGCCCTTTGCAGTGAACTGAGATGCCATGTTAGGAAATATCCTGGGCCCCTTCTCCAGCTACATGTTTTGGCTCCAGTGGCCTGGGGAGGGTCCCGACGGTCCTGGGGACCCTGAGGTGGTGGGCCCACTGCTCTAACTCAGTCTTCTCTCTTCACTGCACCCTCCCCTCCCCCTCCTCCTCCCCTACTCAGCGAATTGCATGACCAAATCATCAAGACCATCAAAGGACTGCCCTGGCAGGGTGAGGACCCCCGTAGGCTCCTCCAGTCCCTCAGTCGGCTCCAGAAACCCCGCACCTTCATCCTGTGAGTCCCCCCAAGGCTGCGGCACCCGCCTACACCCTGTCCCCACAAGTGCAATGACCACCTTCCCTGCTCCCGAGGACTCTGGCCCTGCAGGCTTCCCAGTGATGCTGAATCAGCCACTGCCAACACGACGCTGTATCTTGGCTCCATCCTCACACCAGCCATTGCTGAGTGGACCCCATAATTCTCCCACCCTTGGGTCTGGGCTTCAGCGCAAATCCTCACTGGCTCCCCCATTGCCTAGCACAGCTTGGCAAAAATGCTGGTCCTACAAAGCATCTCGTTTTCTGCCCCCAACTGTGCAGGGCAAGGCTTTCTTCCCTGCCCACTGTGAGCTCGTAAAGAAGCCGTGGGAAGTAGGGCGTGTGATTTCCCTCACCTCCATCGCCAGCCATGGCCCTGCTTTGTGTGGATGGCAGTGTGATGTGGGAGGAAAGGCCAGAAGCCAAGCTACCTCCACTCACTGCGTGGCCTGGGTGCTCTGAGCCTCTGGGCTCTGTCTGCAAGTCAGGGGTGATGACTTTCACACCCATGGCACCAGGTGGATGGCGGTATCAGCCAGTGGAGTACCTGCAGCTATTCAGCTGAGAGCAAAGCTTGTGACCACAGGAGAGGCAGATTTCAAATCACTTTTATTATGCCTTATTCCACACCACAGGGATTCAGATTAAATCTGACACATAGAACTTCATGGCTGAGCATCTTGTAGATCAGTGGGGCACCATTTCTGCAGCCGATCTTTAAAATGAGCCAAGCTGTGAATTCTTTTAAAATTTTTCTTTTGTCTGCAAGAGTCCATAAAGTATTCAAGAATGTGGGAGCCATCCCCACTCCTTCAGCCAAAAGATTGGCTTTCGTTTTTTGCCTTTCCGCCACTACAAATCCAAAATGCACATCTACCCAGGCCCCATTTCTGTTCTCTGCTGGGCAGACCCCTGCCCTCCCTGCTGGGGGTCTGGAAGGGGCTCTTTGAGGTTTGCCAACATGTAGGAAATAGAGCCTGGACACCTGGTAGGTGTCAGAACCACACAAGATCCCTCAAAGTTCCATTTGGGACAACCTCTGTCATTTTTGAGATCTGCCAGCTCCCCCATAGCCAGTCCTGCACAGATGGATGCTCTGCCTTGTAGATTACCAGCCAGCCCCTCCTAAATCCCTGGACATCCAGGTGGTTCCTAGACCAGATGCTCCCACTGCCTTGAGCAGCTACTGGTCCAGTGAAGTGGGTGCACAGTCACAGGGCAGCCCACGCACGTGCAGAGGGCCTGGTGGGTCCTTGGAGAGGCAGCGGTGGGGGCTTCGTTGCACTTGCGCTTCTGGACTCTCCACTTCGTCTGCTCTCACTCCTCCTAACCTGCCAGGCGTAGCTTGCCAAACTAACCCAGATCCAGACAGCATGTGTTCCTTGTGTTCACAAAACCATTTTTAATATTTTGACAGGAAAAGTAAAGGTATCAAACAAAAGCAGATCATTCCGAAGGTAAACGCTCGCGAAACCCTCTAATGCCACCTGGCTGTTGCCCACTTGAGAGAGCCTGCCTCAAGGGGCTTCTGGAAAATGGGGGTGGGGCGGGGGCGGGATTTTAACTTCCCCGGCTTTCTAGTTCCTCCCTCCTCCCACTGTCATCCCTCCCCACCCCAGCTCCCAATTCCCTCCAAAAATAATTTTTCATGTCAGTGACTTGCAGCTGTCTTTGAGTTTACTTGCAGCAGGGCCTGAGATAGGGGACAGGCGTGTGTTGAGGGGCACTCCCAGGAGAAGCCTGAGGGGTCAGGAAGCAGCTAGGATTGGGGCAGGACTGTCCTGCACAGGGACAATGCGGTGCTTGTGTCCCACCACTGTATCACAGGCCTATAGGTATAAGCCACCCCCCAGGGTGGGACAGAACACAGCGTTCCTGGGAAAGGAGGCCCTTCGGCCAGGGTGGTCTCACCAGGAAGGGGCAGCTGTGCCTTGCTGACAGCCAAGACCCCAGCAGTTGGCCTTGGGTAAAGCACACCCAGTGCCCAGGCTGCTCTCCAAGTACAGAGTGCAGACAGATGAAATTTGCAAAAATAAGAACATCTTCTCAGTCTGGCCCACAGACAGGATAGCGCTAGTCCCCTTCATAGCTGATACTAAGGGTCAGCACGCGTGGGAGGACCCCCCGGAGAAGTACACACAGAAGCGCGGCGGGACTCAGCGCTTCTGTTGCTGTGTAGGGGAGGAAGGCACTCTGTAGCCTTTGGCTTCTGGGCACTCAGCCACAAAAGAGGCTGTAATCCATCCTCCGGGAGCTGGCCCCGTGTGCAGGATGCCGCCCAGGGTCACCCCTGCTGCCCACCAGGCCCACAACCTCTGCCCTCCCGCAGCACTGTCCCAAGAGCTGCCACCCCAGGGGACATAGCCCTGGCTGTGGGGACGTCTGTGATGTCTCCAGGTGCCCAGTGGGGCCTGAGGAGGGCAGGCCAGACCCTGTGTGTCTGTCCTAGAATCTGCTGGACTCCAAGTCCCTGAAGCTGATCATCAGCATGACCCTGCACGACCGGACCACCAAGTCCCTGCTACACCTGCACAAGAAGAAGAAGCCGCCGAGCATCAGCGCCCAGTTCCAGGTGGGCAGAGCGGCAGGAAGTGGCACTAGGCTTGGTCTGAGTTAGCCAAAGCCGACCCAGCGAGTCCTGGTCCTGGGGCTGCACGGCCTCGGCATGGCCTGACCTTGAGGCTGGACCATTCTCTGAGGTGGGAGCCGCCTTGTGCATTGCAGGGTGCTGAGCGGGATCCCTGATTTTCGCCCTCAGGTGTGGGCACCCTCCAGTTGTGACAAGCAAAGCTGGCTGGAGACACTGCCACAGACCCCCAGGAGAGGGAGGGGGGCAGAATCACGCCTGTTGAGAACCACGTAGTTAAAAAAGTAACGAGTTAGCGTATTAGTTAGCTTGACCACTGAGCTGTGTTCTTGGCCAATGTTCCCCGTTTTCCCTAGCCTCCAGGAAGCTCAAAGATAATTTTTTAAGGGAACCTAACAGCTGTTGACACCACTAGTGTTTTTGTCCCTTTCATTTTTCCTCAGTCTGAATCTTCTGTTCCCACTTTCACCTTTTTTACAATTACCCTACCTTGGAGCTCCCACAAATCCTTTTTGGAAACAACAGGCCAGAGGCCAAAATCACCACATCTAGTCCTGTCTAAGGCTGACACACATTTTTTAATTCCCAGAAGTTTCTCTGGTCCCACCCCTACCTTCTCCCTGAGACAAAAGAGCTGGGGGTGACCCTGAAAAAATGGTGGCAATCAGCCACAGAGACCCCAAAGCTCCCTTTGGGGCTCCCAGAGATAGCACAGCCTCTGGTGAGATCATCCGGCTGCACCTCCTGAGTCATTGGTGTAGACGCACCAACCCCTGCACACTGGCAGCGACGGGTGACCTGGGTCCCATGCCACTGACGGGCGCTGCTTTGGGGCCCCAGCTCAGCGCCTTCTCTCTTTTGCCCCAGACGTCCCTTAACAAGCTCCTGGAGACCCTGGGGAAAGCAGAGCCCTTCTTCATCCGCTGCATCCGCTCAAACGCTGAGAAGGTAAGAGGCTTCTCTGCCTCAGGGAGGTAAAGGCCCCTGTCTTGCAGCTCAGCTGGGGGCGCCCCTGTGTGGTGCATCCTCTACGGAGCCAGGAGGCCTCAAGAAACCACAGGCTCACACAGGCTCCGGGAACCGTAACTGGCGAGCTGTGGGTAGGGGCAGCAGCAGGGTCAGCAGGAGGCACCAAGGGTGGCCCAGGGGCTGGCCAAGAGCAGAGACATCACCTAAAAGTGGAGGGGCCCCAAAAGGTTTGCTCAAGGAGGCTCAGGTCCGTGGTAGTCTTCACATGCATCCTGAAGTCAGCCAGGACAGAGAACGTAGCAGAGGTGGGGCAGGAGCTGAGGCTGTGCAGCAGGAACCCAGAGCCCCACTGCTGCTCTGGAAGTTTCTGGAAAGACTTGGAGCTCCATTGGGGGCTCCAGCAGCAGGCTCAGCCCTTGCTGCCGGACTTCCTTCAGACCTGGGGTCCACTGGTCATTCCGCCTCCTCAGGGACTTTGCTGAGGGCCATTCAGGCTCTGCTCTCTCCCCTCTGGGTACGAGTAGGTGCCTAGGCAGGGGCTCCTGGGGGCTCTGTTTGCTCACCACCGCATTTCTCTTTCCTCTTCCCATTTCCCTGCCCGCACCCTCCCCTATTCTCCTGAGACATTGCACTGATCCCCAGAGCCTGGCTTCTCCCAATCAGATACCCCAGCTTCCAGCCTCCTGGGCAAGGACCTGGAGTCCTGGGCTCTCCCACCTACCCTCCTGTATCTGTTCCCCAGTAGAGCCTCAGAGAAGCTCTCTGTCTTCCATTCTTCCTCTGGCAGCAGATGGCCCCTTCTTCTATCAGGGATTTTTACACAGCTTTGGACAATTCAGGAAACACTCCCTCAAGACCTGCTCTGGGCAGGGGTTGTGCCCCCAGATAACTGTTTGCCTCAGGGGGCCATCCTAGGTGTTGGCGGGTATTGGGCAGCATTCCTGGTCTCCGAGAGCTCACCAGATGCCACCCAGTTGTGCAACTGCCACACCCTCATGTGGCACCCTCTGTCCACTTTAAATAACCCCCTAGCATGGAGTCCAGGCCCCCTGAGCTCCAAACTCCAAGCACACCACGGGAGCCTCATTTCCAGCACCTCCTCCTCATCCTTGGCCCTCCAACAACAAGCCTCCCTCTGTGCCCCTGTCAGCCCCTTGGCCTCCCCCTCCTCCTCTGGGCCTTCACCTGCCTGTCCCCGCCTCAGCCCTCAGGACTGAGCTCAGAGTCCTCCTCCTGCAGTACCTCCCACAGGGACCCAGGCAGCATCCACCCTATTCGCACATGCACCTGCCTCCCACCCCCAGACCGTGTTCTCTCTGCTGAATCCCTAGTTTTCCTCCCAACCCCAGTGCCTGGCACAGAGTAGGAGCTCAGGGCATGTTTGGGGTGGGGCCCTTAGGAAATAACTTTTCGTGGCACTAATGTGAAAGAAAGGTAATTCTTCCGTGGCACAGTTAGGCAGTAAGAAGCAGCCTCTGCCTCCCAGACACCAGGAAACAGAGCAGATCAGATGCTCTATTTTCAAGAAGAGATGAATGCCTTAAGCATCACTGCCAGGCAGCCCTGTCTCTTTATTCCAAAAAGAATGTCTGGAGCAAGGAAAGATGGATCCTGCAGGTAGCTGTGGGTGCCGCGCTGGGAACATCCCCCAGACCAGCCAGGCCCGTGTGTGTACCCAGACCACAGCCTTAGCCAGAATCCTCAGGGGCCTCATTCCGTGGCTCCCTGACCCCAGCAGCCCGTGCTTAGGCATCTGGCAGTGGGCACCTGCCCTGATGGTTCACATCCCATTCCAGAAAGAGCTGTGCTTTGATGACGAGCTGGTACTGCAGCAGCTGCGCTACACAGGCATGCTGGAGACCGTGCGGATCCGGAGGTCAGGCTACAGCGCCAAGTACACATTCCAGGTGGGAAGAACCTACAACAGGAACCTGGACAGTTACTTTACAGCAGAGCTTCTCCCCAGTACCATTGGCATTTGAATCAGAGTTCTTTGACATGGGTCGGCAGGGTGAGTGTCCTCGGAAGAGGTGGCTGGGCCCAAGCCAAGCCTTGGAGGACACAGAGGTGTCAAACTGAACCAAGCAGAGGGAATTGCACAAGCAGGTTCCTACGTGGCTCTGCCCTTTATCTAGCACCTTCTAAGGTAGATGATTTTATACCAACTCTTTTATTCTGCCACCAGCAGCCAGGGGACGTGGTTCCAATTTTCCAGATACAGAAACTGAGGCTCCGGCAGGCGACACCTCCAGAGGTGACTCTCTGGGCTTTCTAGAGACACAAAGGACTGTTAACTGACCTCAAAATGGTGATGGGCAAATTGCTAGGGCATTTTCTCAAACACAGCAGGGACCATTGACATTTGAAGCCTGGTCATTCTTTGCTACGGGTACCACCCCGTGCATTATCATGTGCACGCGCGCGCACACACACACACACACACACACACTTGTAAGAACTCAAGCTGTCTCCAGACATTGCCACACATGCATGGTGGTCAGCATGGCCCAGGTTGAGTAGCCCTGACTCATGCCACAAGCTGACACCACTTGTGTGGTGCTTAAGAGAGCACTGGGCCTGGCACCAGGGGTGGTGGCACCCGGTCCCTGTTCAAGCTTTTCCCCATATGGCTCCAGGGAAATGTCTTCATCATGGCATGCCTCCATTTTCTCACCCGCAGAACGGAAATATCTTTCTGACCCTGTAGAAAGAGGGTAGACAGAATTACAGAAAAGAGAGAAAATGCCAATGTGTCTTCCTCTTGGCTCTTAAAAATTTGACATAGTTGTTGACGTAAATGGTGTGTACCTCCAGCTATGATCCAGGCCTCTAACAAGCCACAGACTGGGGGTGCCCCAAGGCCACCCCCAACAATGCCAGCACCCAGCCATCGATAGCCACTTGCCACCTAACCGACCATCCGGTGCTCCACATCTGCAGCAGTCTCTCTGCAGCTTTAGGCTGTTTCAGAGTCCGAGGTTTTAGCTCTGTCAGTGCCCTTCATGTTAAGCTAAGTTTCAGCTTTAGAAACTCAGCTTGACTAAGGTGTTGCTGGTACCATGTCCCTTCTGGTGGCAGAAATGCTCACGTGGATTCTCTTTTCTCGGCCACAATCACCTAGGATTTCATAGAGCAGTTCCAGGTGCTTCTGCCCAAGAATGCCCAGCCCTGCCGGGAGGTCATCTCTACCCTGCTAGAGAAGATGAACGTGGACAAGAGGAACTACCAGATTGGGAAGACCAAGGTCAGCAGACCCACAGCCTTGGGGCAGCTGCAGACCCACCACACTCTGCCTCCCACTGCACCCAGGTCCTCTCGTGGCCCAAGACCCAGAGCCATGCACTGAAAAATAAGGAGCTCTGTTGAGGAAATATGTTTCTGGGGGCGCAGCACATTTTCTTGTGAGAAGGCAGAAGGGTGCACCGAGCAGTCAGGTTCAGGCCTGTTTCCCATTTTCTCACACATAGCTTAGGAGAGGCCCCAGAGTGTAACCTCTGTAATACCTACCAGTATGTTTGCTTCCTTCCTTTCCCCTCCCAAAGCCATCTCCACCTCCAGGTATGTGTTATTTGAATCTTGTTGTCGGGGTGCCACCGACGCTAAAGTCAGCTCTCCTTTAGGGCTTTACCTGACATAAAAAATCTCCTCACAGCCCCCCAACAAGCGAACCACAGAGTTACCATGACCCAGCAGTTCCATTCCTAGGTGCAAATTCAAGATGCCTGCAAACAGGTATCCTAACAAGTCCTCGTACACACAGCTTCATAGCAGCACTAGTCACAGTCGGCAAAAACTAAACATGCCTTGTATCTATCATCAGATGAATGGATAAACAACATGTGGGCCATTCGTGTACTGGAGCATTATTCATACTCAGCCTTGTGTATACTGCGATGTGCCCAGACCTCAACAACATGTTGAGAGAAAGAAGCCAGACATAAAAGGTCACATGTTGTAGGATTCTGCTTACATGAAACATCCATGAAATCCATAGACACAGAAAGCAGATCAGTGGTTGCCTGGGGGAGGGTGAATGACTGCTCGTTGGGGTGGGGTTTCCTTTCGTGGGGATAGGATGTTCTGGAACATTGGGACTACACCAAGTGCCACTGAATTGTTCACCTTATAAAGGTGACTTTCATGTAACAGGACTTATATCTCAGTAAATTTAAAAAAGGGCCTCCCGGGCACAGGATTCCCACCCCTCCACCCCTGTGCCCATGCCCTCCAGGTTTTTCTGAAGGAGACGGAGCGGCAGGCCCTCCAGGAGACACTGCACCAGGAGGTCGTTCGGAAGATCCTGCTCCTGCAGAGCTGGTTCCGGATGGTGCTGGAACGCCGGCACTTTCTTCAGATGAGGAGGGCGGCTGTCACCATCCAGGTACTGCATAGGCCCCACCTGGCTGGGCTGGGGGCAGACAGGGTCACCATGCCCAGCCCCTGAGTGCCTGCCCCACCCTCAGGCCAGCTGGCGGTCCTACCGCGTCCGATGGTCACTGGAGAGGACACAGGCGGCCGTGTACCTCCAGGCTGCATGGAGGGGCTACCAGCAGCGGATGGCCTACCAGCGCCAGAGATGGGGCATCATCCACCTGCAGAGCCTCTGCCGGGGGCACCTGCAGCGCAAGAGGTGCGCAGAGCAAATCCCTCAACCCAACCCGGAGCATTCAGCTCACCCGGGAGCTGCCCCGGGTACGGTCTAGCCCACGGAGACAGGTGCCAGGAGTCTAGCCAGCTGGCCTATGGGGCTGGTGGGTAGCACCTGCAGATGCAGCACCAGTTTACCCACTGGCCACACGTAGACTCCCTGAGGGACACCCCACACACACACTGCACCCATCTGTCCTGAGCTGGTCAGTGGAGCACCTGGATTCGGAGGCAGAGGGTTCAGGCTACCAGGACCAGCCCACATAGGTTCCCCTCACCGCGTGCTCACATACGAAGCTTGGGCATGCTGGGCCAGGGACCCCAGAGGAATTCAGGGGCTTTGATTCTTCCCCAAACAGACCTAACGAAGGTCCCCCTGAGCCAGCTAGGCAGAACCAGGGTGGAGAGGGCCGTGGTGATAAGGGGCCACTCCTCTATCCCCTTTTCCTGGCTAGGGACGTTTTACCCTTCTAGAAGTCTCTCTAAGGGCTGCGGTCTGCCACTCGGCAGAGTCAGAGCACAGACCCCAGCGCACCGGTGGCACAGGGGTCTCCGACCCCATGGGTGGATTCTGAAGGTGGCCTGCACATTTGTTCCTGGATCTACCCACTTTGCTTTCTCACACCAGCTTCAACAAGATGGTCGCGGAGAAGCAGAAGGCAGAAGAAAAGGAGCGGGAAGGCCAGCAAGCCTTGAGGGAAGAAGCTGCAGAGGGCAGGCCGGGCCAGGCAGCCAGGCAAGAGCAGGTACCCGGGCAGGGCCCGGAACCGTCAGAGGACAGCAAGCATTCGGCACTGGATCCGCCAAAGCCCAAGATGCAGCCGAGCAGTGAGCCCCTGGCAGAGAGCGCCCAACCAGAGGGGGTGGTCCCCAGCCTGGAGAAGGCTCTCCCACCCCAGAAAAGTGCAGCGGAGAGCCACGAGAAGGTGCCCAGCAGCCGGGAGAAGCGGGAATCTCGGCGGCAGAGAGGGCTGGAGCACGTGAAGCTCCAGAACAAACACATCCAGTCCTATCAGGACGAGCACACCCTCAGAGAACTTTCTGGAAGGGCCATCCCAGAGCCAGAAGAGAGCCTCCTGGAAGACAGAAAGGAGGGCAGAGAAGAAGAATCCCCTTCAGATGCAGGGCCAGAGACGGAGGATGCTTCTGAAATGCAGCTCGAGGAAGCGCTGCAAGTCGTGCCAGTCAGCCAGGTCTCCAGAGAAACTCCAAAGGTTCCCCAGGATGGGAGCCTGAGCCCCAGCCACAGGGAGCGGCCACCCAGCCTGACCCTGGACGGTACCCCCGAGACCTTGGCCACCACTCCCGAGACTCCCAAGGACAAGAGTGAGCTGGGCAGTGACCTGAGCACACAGGACAAGCCCGAGAGCCCTGGAGGCTCTACCCAGATCCAGCGGTACCGGGACCCGGACTCAGAGCGGCTGGCCAGCGCCGTGGAGCTGTGGAGGGGCAGGAAGCTGATGGCTGCTGCTTCCAGCACCATGCTAAGCCAGTCCCTAGACCTCAGCGAGCGGCACTGGGCCCCTAGCACCGCCCTCACACCGACAGAGTAAGCCCTTCTTTGTCCCAGCACTGTGGGTGCCAGGCTGGGGTGGGCAGGGTGACACAGAGCCCAAGGACAGGGACAATGCCATGCATCCCCAAAAACAGATGAGCAGTTCTGTGCCCAAAAGCTGACCTCAGGTGTGTGAGAGCCCCGAGGAAAGAAGGTGCAAGTTTGGGGGGTGGGGAGGGTGACAATGAGGCACCTGCAAGGGGCCTAGCTGGGACCCTGAGTCCCCCACCAGAACAGGCCGTGCATACCCAGCATCCCCACTCCCCTGCCCACTTGGGCCTCAGCTTTCTCACCAATGAGCAGGAGTGATTACACTCATCCAGGAGTTGAAGGAGACAGGGGCCAACTCTCAATATGCTGTTAGCTAAATACCGGTGACCCTGAGTCCCCAGCCCTTCTCCAAGAGAGCTGCTTGGCCAAAGGAAAGAAGAGTCAGAGAAACAAGTAGCTGACACCTGGGCCTGGCTTGCTCTCTGCAGTGGGGCCACCCCAGGCCCTGTGGGTGCAGAGCAGCACCCTCGGTCTCCACCCTTGAGATGCCTGGAGCACCTCACTCCTCCCCAAGTCAGGACAACCGAAACAGTCTGCTAACCTGCTGCCATTGATAAAAGCCTCATTTCTGTGATCTCACAGGGAAAGGCGTATCTCCTTCTCCACGAGTGACATCTCTAAGCTCCTGCCATCCCCAACCCAGACCAAGACACAGGTAAAGTTCCAGGCTGCTGCTCCCATCCGTCAGGGCCCCAGCTCACTTCCACTCTGGCCACCCAGGCTCTACGCAAGGACAGCTTGAAAGAGCAGGGAAGCTGGCGGATAGAGTGCAGGGTGACTGGGAAATCCCCGCTTTGCTATCCCTCCAGTGAGGCCTGCCTGCTTTTGCTCACGCAGCCCTGGTCTCTTGCAGCCTTGTATGGAAACTGTGGACGGGCGGCAGGGCACAAAGAAGCAGGCCGTTCAGAAGAAGAAGTCAGGAGATGCATCTGCTGGCACAGACTCAGGGCTGTCCCCAGGCCCCCAGGCCGACTCTAAGTAAGTGTGGAGTTTGGGGCTGAGCTTCGGCCACCCGAGGATGCCGAGGGTCCCTGCCAAGGCTCCAGCCTCACAGCAGTCTGGTCTCCTACACCCATGGTGTTTGCAAAACACTGCTGGGCAGGTGTTTGTTCAGTAGCAGTTCCAAGATGGGAGCTCCCACCCAGAACCCAGGTGGTGACCTCCTCAAGGGTCATGACCTCCTGGAGCACCAGCACGGCCTCATCCCACTGAAGCCCAGAGCCAACCTGGGTCGCATCCTCTAGGCCCCCCACACACCCCATTACAGTCACTGTCCATCAGCGTAGTGAGATGCTATAGAATCACTACTTGTCTTCTCTGTGGTGTTAAGCTTTTTACAGAATCAAAACCAACTCCCGGCTCCCCCATCCACTGCTAGAACCCTTCCTGGGTCCTTGGGTAGAAAAAACTCTGTCCCCAGAAAGCCCCTGCAGACATCCTAGAGCTGCTTGCATCTCAGAGCAGACAGGAGCCATGAGACAGGGCGGCCTGGGTCCTGGTACAGAGACAGGGGGCCCAACCAGACTGAGCACCGTAACCAGGTGGCTGGGACAGCAGCGGTCCGCTCTCTCCCCCCTCTGGCGGCCGTGAGTCCAGGTGTGGGCGGGGCCGCGCTCCCTCGGAAAGCCCTGGGGAAGTCTTCCCACCTCTTGTAGCTTCTGGGGGCTCCAGAAGGCTCCGGTTCGCGGTTCGTGTTCGCGTCACCCAGTCTCTGCCTCCACGCCCACAGGACGTTCTGTTCTCCTCTGTGCCTTCTTTTTCTGTCTCTTATAAGGAACCTTGTCCTGGATTTAGGACCTATGTGATCCATGAGGCTCTCACCTCGAAGTCCTTCGCTTGGTGGCTTAGTACATTCGGGCCGCTATGACAAAAATACCAAAGACCAAGTGGCTTAAACAACAAACATTTATTTCTCACAGTTCTGGAGGCACCAGTGTCTGGTGGGGGCCACTTCCTGCTTCATAGATGCCACCTTCTGGCTGCATCCTCATGGGGTGGGAGGGGTGAGGGGCCAGCCTGAGTTCTCTTTCATAAGGGCACTGATCCCATTGTGGGGGCTCCACCCTCAGGACCTCATCACCTCCCACAAGCCCCTCATCCTGACACAGTCACACTGGGGTTACTCTCCCACCTGTGAAGTTGGAGGGGACACATGCGTTCTGACCATGGGACTTAGTCACATCCCCAAGACCCTTTTCCTAAATAAGAGGCTGATGGGTAGTCGTGGACACATCTCTTCAGGGCCCACTGTCTACCCCACTGTGCACCCAGTAGCCACAGCACACAAGTTGGCATTTATTCTGATTTCTCCAACCTTGTGCCCACAAAAACACATGAAGGGAGCAAAGGGTCGTTTCTTTTTTATATGACAGGCCATGCTATGGTATCTGCTCAGCATCTTTTTCTAACCCCTGCCAAACTCACACACAGAGACCTCATTTTCAGTAGCACTCCATTCCATCAGTAACCAAGCATTATTTCTCTCTTCACAGTGAGATGGCCCTTTTGGCAGCCTCTCAGTCATTTTCACTTCCCGAGGTTTAAATGGAACCCCTTACTTTCTCCTACAGATCTACATTTAAGAGGCTTTTCCTGCATAAAAACAAGGATAAAAAGTACAATCTAGAGGGCGTGGAGGAGATGGAGAATGCCATACCTGGGAACATTATTCTGGAAGCTGCTACCATGAAGAAGAATCCAGAAGGTTGGTTGCCCACAGTCTCAGGATGGACGGCAGAGCCACCAGGGCCCCTGGGGATGGGCACGGTCCCCAGGTCAGGCCTTGGGCACAAGGCTTCAGGGCCGGTCCCAGTGCCCTGGGAGCACTCTCTGGCTGAGGATCCTGGCATGTGGCCATGGGGGTCCCGGGTCTCTGCATTTGTGACTCCGCCCCTCAGAGCCCACCAGCATCCCTCCCCAGAACCCACTGTGACCAGCCGCTCCTCCTCCCCCTCAGTCCCCTCCAGCCACCAGCACCGCCATGCCATGGGTGAGAAGCACACCAAGGAGCCAGGAGGCAAAGGGAAAAAGAACCGGAATCTCAAGATTGGCAAAATCACAGTGTCAGAGAAATGGCGGGAGTCAGTATTCCGCAAGATCACCAACGCAAACGAGCTCAAGTACCTGGACGAGTTCCTGCTCAACAAGGTGGGTTGGCCAGGGGACAGGTATGGCAGTGGGTGGGTGTGGGGACGCACAGAAGGGCTGTCGCAGCCTGGCAGTTTTCTGAGCCACCACGCCACAGCCCTCAGTTGGCTGGGAACAGAAAGTTGCAGAAACCAGAGGCTTCTTCCTAAGTTTGCATCAGCTCATTTTCTGTAAAAACACGGCCTGGGCTCACGTGGGACCATTTTGTCGCCTCGTTCATCCTACTCAACACAGACATTTACATTTTGTTGCAATGTCAGTGGGTCTTAATCACAGAGGCTACAGAATCGTGGAACCAAGCTCCATCCAAAGCATTTGATTCTGGAACGTGCCTGTCCCAATGGCATTGGGCAAGGGTTTATGGCCTGTACTGGATTCAGCGCACGCACATGTGTGTGCACATCTGTGTGGGCAGGCTGGGCACCAGGCAGGTCCATTTTATCCTGCAGCTTCTATCTAGGAAGACTGAAATCTACTATCTGAAGACATTTACCTGTGTGTCGCGTCACAGCACCCCTAGGAGGTGACTGCCCCACTTTCCTGTGCACCGGAGGAAACAGAAGCACCAGGAATCCAAATAACCTTCCTAGAAACACCCGCTGCCTGGAGGCCCTGCGGCCACGCTGTGGCTCGGCTGTGGTGTGGCTGTGGATTTCTTATTTTATTTAGAATACGCTTTTACCGAAGTCAGTGGGTCTTGTGCTAGGCACTGATTGAGCACTTAGTGTGTACCGTGGAGATAAATGCGCTGTGGTGTGCACTGCGGGCGTGGCCTAGCATTGAGCCTCTGTAAGGCAGCAGGAAGGGATCCAGCCACACCAGCAGCTGTCCTTAACCAGGATACTTCTGCCCCCAGGGGACACTTGGCTATGTATGCAGACATTTTTGGTTGTCACACCTGGAGTGCTCCTGGCATCTGGTGGGCAACAGTATCTCACATTGGATGATCGAGCCCCCAGCATCAGGAGTTCTAATCCGAGCTGCAGGGATTGGAGAGACCAGGCTTGGCCAGAGGGCCTGGATATTTTCCTGCCAGCCCAGAGAAAGGCAGGAAACTTGGGACAAGGCAGAGAGGTGACTGACCAGTCAGATGTTCCTCTGGAGGCCATTCAGGGTCAGACATCTGTCCCTCCCTCTCCAGATAAATGACCTGCGTTCCCAGAAGACTCCCATCGAGGGCTTATTCATTGAAGCCACCGAGAAGTTCAGGAGCAACCTCAAAACCATGTACTCCGTCCCGGTACGTGCAGCCCCCAGCCCTCAGGAAGCTCCACAGCCATCGCCATGCCCCCTCCAGGCGCCTCCACCCCCGTCTGACTCCCTGCGGGTCATGCCTTTCATCCCCCACAGAACGGGAAGATCCATGTAGGCTACAAGGACCTGATGGAGAACTACCAGATCGTTGTGAGCAACCTGGCTGCCGAGCGTGGCGAGAAAGACCCCAATCTTGTCCTGAACCTCTTCCAGTCGCTTCTGGATGAGTTTACCCGCGGGCATAAAAATGATTTCGAGCAGCCCAAGGTGGGTGGGGCCACTCAGCAGGGGGCAGGCCAGCACGGGCAGGGCCATGCCGGGCCCACCCAGACCTTACCTTTGTGTTGTGCTCCCTTGCAGCAGAGCAAGGCTCAGAAGAAGAAGCGGAAGCAGGAGCGTGCTGTGAGTATGTTTGCAGGTGCCTGTGTGCATGACGCTGCATGTGTGAGCACGCAAGCACACCTGTGCATGTGTGTGAGCATGCCGTGTGTGTGTGTGTGTGTGTGTCCCCACCCAGCCCCCAGGAACCCCCAGGTGGGAGGGAGGGGCGTCCAGGCCCTGAGTTGCTGCAGACTGCATCTGTGCCAGGCACCCCTCCGTCCCTGCCCCACTCTCCACACCCACAGCATGGCAAGCCCGTGGGGAACTGCTCCCCAACCCCAGCTCCCACCTTCCTCGTGGCCCTACAGGTCCAGCAGCACAATGGGCATGTGTTCATCAGCTACCAGGTGAGCATCCCCCAGTCATGCGAGCAGTGTCTCTCCTACATCTGGCTCATGGACAAGGCCCTGCTCTGCAATGGTGAGTGCCCCTGTGCCCCGGCCCCCACTGTACCTCCTGACCTCCTAGCAGACCCCCCACCAGCCTCCCCACCATGCCCCCTGACCCCTCACCATACCCCTTGGCCCCCCCAAACCATGTCCCTGACCCCCTGCTGTGCAGCAGGGCCTTTACCCCCAGCCACAAGGCAGATCTTTCTGGAACACTGCCCCAGCCCCATCTCACTCAAACTAACCACCCCACCAACTGTCACTCTGGGGCAGAGCCCTGTTCTCAGTGGACCTGAGGCCCCCACCCATCTCTGCACCCTCCCCTCCCCTGGAAAAGTCACCCTATGTCCTACCTCCAGGCTTTGTACACACTGCCTACCTGCACTGTCTGGGCTGCCAGCCCCTCCCCGGGCCCCCGTAGTCCCTCCCCCACATGCCAGGCCAAGCCTGTCAACCCCCACCAGGACCCAGGGAGAGGGGCTCAGCCCAGAACGACCCCGCCAGCGCGACAAGGCCCAGGCCAGGCCGTGCAGCCTCGAGCCTTGTGATTCCCACCACAGCCTGCTGAGCCTGGCTCTTTTTTTGGCCCAGAGTTTCCTACTTTTTGGCCCCTGTGCAAGGAGCAGCCCACCACCCCATGTCTATCATCAGTCCCCAGCAGTGTCAGTGTGTTGAGGCGAAGACACCCAGATACCCCCTCCTTTTTGTTGTAGCTGATTTTCCCTCTCCATGTGTGACCTCAGCTAGACAGACTGGGGGCCATGTGGTTGGAAAGGACGAAAGCATCACTCCTGCTGCTGTCATGGGCCAAGGCCCCAGGGCCACCTCCCCGCAGGACCCAGACCCAGGCTCCCCAGACTCCTGCCCCCTGTCCTGCCAGCCAGGCTGCTCCTGAAGCCACTAAGAGGACCCAGCTATGACCTGCCTATATGGCTCCCTCACCTGGGAATCAGCGGAGATTCGCAGGACTCAGGTTTAGAAACTGATTGGTGGGCCCCCAGCCATCAGAGCAAGCAGCCACAGGAACCTGGGTCCCAGACACCTCTGTGACGCCCTGCCCCCTCCCCCATTGGTCTCCTAGTGTGTAAGATGACCTGTCACAAGAAGTGCATGCACAAGATCCAGACCTGCTGCTCCTACACGTGTGGAAAGAAGGTGAGCCCGCTGAAGCCAGGAACCTTCCACAATGACACCTGGGGGGAGGCCATCCTGAGAAATGAGTCTCCACAGTACAATGCCAAGGTCGGGGGTCAGGCAGGAACAGGGAGCCAGCAGGAGGGGCTGACCCACAGTAGAGTGCACCCCAGTTCTGTTGGAGGCCCTGGAGGTGCCCCAGGGCAGGGGTTGGGCTTGTGTGTGCATCTCAGACCCCCAGCCCCACTCCTCTGTCCTCCGGGTGGAGGGCCCGTCTACTCTGCACAAGGGAGACGGGGTCCCTAGTGCTGGGGTTTCAGCAGGAGCCAGACCAGCAGCTCTAAGAGGCAGAGAGGGAAGGGATGGCTAAGGGGACAATGGGCCCAGGCCTAACTCTACCCCCCTGGTGTTGCAGAGTGAGCCAGGCGCTGAGCCAGGCCACTTTGGCGTGTGTGTGGACAGCCTGACTAGTGACAAGGCCTCGGTGCCCGTCGTGCTAGAGAAGCTTCTAGAACACGTGGAAATGCACGGCCTCTACACCGAGGGCCTCTACCGCAAGTCAGGCGCTGCCAACCGCACGCGGGAGCTCCGGCAGGCACTGCAGACAGGTGGGTGCTGTGGGAGGAAGGACCTGCAGGAAAGCAGGTGTCCAGGGCAGACAGGCTGTCTGCAGGCCCAGCCCTCCTGCCTGTACTTCCCTCACTGGCTCTGCCCACCATTCACACAGACCCCACAGCAGTCAAGCTGGAGAACTTCCCCATCCACGCCATCACCGGGGTGCTCAAGCAGTGGCTGCGCGAGCTGCCCGAGCCCCTTATGACCTTCGCCCAGTATGGTGACTTTCTCCGAGCTGTTGGTGAGTCCCATGGTCACAGCGAGGGTAGGCAGATGTTCAAGGTCAGGGACTGGAGCCACAAGTGTTTGCTGTGACCATCCAGGGAGGTGGGATGACTTTGTCACAGCTGAAAACTAAGCCTCAAGCCAGCAGAGTATGGGTCCCCAGCCTACATGGGAGGCCGGGAGCCCTCTGTGGTCCTGCATTTTTGCCACATGCCCGTTCCAGCCCCCACAGCAGGAGGCTCCCCTATGCCCTGGGGCATGTCAGGGCCGAGGCAATAGGGAACTGATGCCCTGGGCTCTCCTAGAGCTGCCAGAGAAGCAGGAGCAGCTGGCCGCCATCTACACTGTCCTGGAGCACCTGCCTGAGGCCAACCACAACTCCCTGGAGCGGCTCATCTTCCACCTGGTCAAGCAAGTGTCCACCACCCACTCACTGTGGGGTGGGGCCCCGAGGAGTACTCTCTTGTTCTGCACCAGGCCGCAGACCCATGCTGGGGGGTCTGGGAGGGGACCAGCTCCTCCATGGTGCCTCTCTGCCCTGTGGAAGTGAGCATTGCTCACCTCCAGGCAGCAGTGGGGACACTTTGCCCAAAGCAACCCCAGGGCTCTGGACTCCGGTCTTGGAGCTCCCCGGCCACCCGCTAAATGCTGTTCGCCGTGCAGGGTGGCCCTACTCGAGGACGTGAACCGCATGTCGCCCAGTGCTCTGGCCATCATCTTCGCGCCCTGCCTCCTGCGTTGCCCCGACAACTCGGACCCGCTGACCAGCATGAAGGACGTCCTCAAGATCACCACGTGAGTGCCAGGCCCCACAGGGCCCCCACAGCATCCCTCCTCAAGCAGCAAGGGCGTCGCTTCTGAGTTCTCCTGAGGCTGAAGAACCAAAAAAGAGATGAAGAAGCTTTCCTGTCCAGTTGAAGGGTTAGGGGTGGACAGTGAGCCCTCATATTCCCAGCCTCTGGTCAACAGTGGCAAACAAACAATTATCTGGAGGTTTCTTCTTCCCTCTGAGCAACTGTCAAAAGTTCTCAGAATGTTCTTCAAAAGAACGTGGAAGGAAGTAATCGGACATTAGTCACCACAAGGACATTGTTTAGGTCGTACCGCCAGATTTGCTTCCAGCCGCTTTTGGCATGTTCTTTGGCCCCTTTTTCCTTATGTGGTCATGATGGGAAACCTGAGTTGTGGCTGCCTCTCCATCCAGGCCAGATCCCCCCACACAGTGACCCTGCAGGCTGAGTGTCGCCTGGTGCTGACCACTAAGCAGATGTGCTGCAGGTCACAGCATGCCTTCCAGAGCCCTTGGGGCTGGCTGCCCACAGTCCCTAGCACAAGCCGCCCAGCCCTGCTGTGTCCCGTACTTCTGTGTGAGGCACGCACCTTCCTACTCTACAGGGTGACTGAGGGTCAGGTCGCTTTGATCCCTGCCACTGTACTTCCTCCTCCAAACAAGGAAGCTCATTCAGAGACTGGGGCTCAGAGAGGTAGAATGAGTCGCCCGAGGTCACACAGTGAGGGAGGTGGAGCCCCAGCCGCAGCCGTTGCTCTGCATGGTCTCTGGGTCTGTCTTCTGGCCACTCTGCCCTAGTCCCCCACCACCACCTCCCTAGATGGGGGGTCCCCACACCAGCCATTGCTGGGGCGGTGACTGAGTTGCCTTCTCCGCAGGTGCGTGGAGATGCTGATCAAGGAACAGATGCGGAAGTACAAGGTAAAGATGGAGGAAATCAACCAGCTGGAGGCCGCCGAGAGCATCGCCTTCCGCAGGCTGTCGCTCTTGCGACAGAACACTGTGAGCTTCTTGCGTGGGGGTAGGGCCTCGGGGTGGGGTCTTGGTGGGAGTTGCCAAGCGGTGTGGTGTCAGTGGGCAGGGTCTGGGTTAGTGGGATAGAGCCTCTGGGGTGGGACTTTATTTGGATGGGCCTTGTGAGTGGAGCCAGTGGGGCTCCAGGGGGCGTTGTCAGGGTCTGTGTAGTGGGGGCATGGTCAGGTGGGTGGGAAGCTACCTGAGGGGCAGGAGTGAAGGGGGGCCGTGTGTGGGCGGGTCTGGTGGGAGCTGCCAGGAGGCAGGGCTCTGGGGGCGTGGTCTGGGTGGGCACCGCCTAGTGGCTTGGGTGTCAGGGCTTGGCCTCATGGGTGGCAGGGGTGGGGTCTCACTTCTCAACCAGCATTCCCACGCCCCCTTGGCCACAGGTGAACTGGTCAGGGTTTTGACTCTTCACCGTGGCCAAATGGTCATAGCCCTCACTCAGCCACAGCCACCTGCCCCTTGGAAGGCAGTAGGCAACCTGTCACTCACTTGGTGGTGTTTCGGGTCATCCACCAGCCTCCTCCCTTGCTGACCTGGGTCCCACCCACAGGGAAGTGTTCCCACAGTCGGGGGTAGGGAGGTGGGAGGATCCTGGGTTCTAGGAGGACCCTGGCATTGTCCCCTCAAAGTCGGTGCCCGTGACTTGCACCTGTATCATGTTCACGGCCTCGTGTGGTCACCCTCTGTTCATCTCTCCCCCAGCCATGGCCTCTCAAACTGGGGTTTTCATCTCCCTATGAGGGGGTCCTGGTATGTATGTTTCACAGGCATGCCCTGCATGTCTCCTGGTGTAGGTGCATTCTAGGGTTCCCCTGGCCCCCCCTGGGTCCCCGTAGTATAGATAGAGCATGTCCCAATCCTGCAGAGGTGCATGCCTGGGGAGGCCCACTGCCTGCTGCCCTCCAGTGCCAAGGATGACTAATCAGCTGAGCACCAGCCCCTCAGTCCCCTGTGACCCCTGCAGAGGCCTCACTGAGCGCAGCCGTCTGCAGCACAACTAACCTCCCTGAGAGCCACTCACACCCTCTCATCACCCCCCAGCGCTGGCTTCACCTGCCCCAGGGCTGGCCAGACCCTCGGCCTCTCTGTTACAGAACAAGAGCCCCAAAGCAAGCAGTGGCAGGGGGAGCCTGGAAGGGTTGCCGGAGGAGGCGGCGGTGGCTGGCGGCGACGAGGACCGCGAGAAGGAGATCCTCATGGAGAGGATCCAGTCCATCAAGGAGGAGAAGCAAGTGTCCCTCCGTCTCCTTTCTGCCCTCAGCCACGCTGTCCGGCCTGCATCCTCGGGCCTCTCTGCTGCAGGGGGCCTGGCCATTAGGACTGGCTGGGCTCCGTCCCGTCATGCAGCACCTGCCCCACGGGACCCTGCTTTCCGAGAGCACAGCCTGGGGCTCTGTTTAAACCCTGTGCTCGACTGCAGAGACGGGAGCAGCAACCAGCGAGTGGGGCCCAGACTTTGTCTTGAAGTTGGTCTTAGCTTGGGTGACTGACTGATCTATTCTGTAGTCAAAACACGAGCGTGAAGGAGGGTGCTATGAAAAAATCCTGCCAGAAAAGACGTGACCCGGGCCAGTGGCCACCATAGTTGTAGGAATAGGCGAGGGTGCCCCAGGCGGAGCAAACAATGTGTACAAAGGCCCTGGGACTCCTAGGAGCCTGTCACTAGGTCATTATTAGGGCAGCTGCTCGGCTTCCCTCAGCAAAATGGCACATACCTCCCATGAGCTTCACTGGGTCGGGGCCATTTTGGGTCAGAAGTGCTTTTGGGGTAGGGAGTGCTGGGGGCGGGGAGTCCCATCCAGGACTAGGATGGCCTGCTCTGTCCCCTAAGTGCCTGGCATTTTCCGTGGGGTGGTCTGTCCTCGTGGGTACAGTCTTCGACACCTGTCATCCCCTCACCTCCAGGGAGGACATCACCTACCGGCTGCCCGAGCTGGACCCTCGGGGCTCCGACGAGGAGAACCTGGACTCAGAGACGTCAGCCAGCACCGAGAGCCTGTTGGAAGAGCGGGCCGGGCGGGGGGCCTTGGAAGGTCAGTATTAAGGTAGCGTCTGCTTCTTTCCTTCCCATGTCCACCCCTGGCAGGCCCAAGGGTACAGGTCCGTGTACCAACCCTGAAGCTGCAGTAACCCTGACGTCTGTCTCTCAAAAGGGCCCCCCGCGCCTGCTCTCCCCCACCCCACTGTGCCCGCCCCAAGCCCCCTCCCTGTGGTGGCCGCCCCTCCACGACGACGGCCGTCGTCCTTCATGACGGTCAGAGTGAAGACCCCCCGCCGGACCCCCATCATGCCCACAGCCAACATCAAGCTCCCGCCTGGCCTGCCCTCCCACCTTCCTGGGCGGGCATCAGCTGGCCAGGAAGTTTCTGCCCCAGTGCGGCGTCGAGAGCCACCTGCCCGCCGCCCAGACCAGGTGCACTCCGTGTACATCACGCCTGGCGCTTCCCTGCCTGCACAGGGCACTCAAGAGCCCCTGGATGAGGACAGCCAGCCTCCTGGGGTCAAGCGGAGGTACTCAGACCCCCCGACCTACTACCTGCCCCCGACCTCAGGCCAGGCCAACGGCTGAGGGCCCATGGCTGCCAGAGGCCACGTGTCCCAGGACGGCTGGAGCTGGTGCTGAGCTCCAGGGCCAGCATTCAGCTCTCCAAGAAGGATCCGGAATGAAAAGCTCCAAGAGCCATGCGAGGTGGGCACCAGCTCCCAAGTGCAGAGCCCCAGGCAGGGGGAGGCCAGCCGAGGCCCGGCTGCCCTTGCTGTGCCCCCACGTCTCAGACGCACTCGCCCAGAGCATCAAATCATGGCAGGCAGCCTGGCATTTCCCACCTCCCCTTTTGTACGTTTGTTAACTGTTTCTTTGTGTGTGGTTTACATAACTTTAAACTGTAACAGCCTTAACAGAAGACCAAATTGTTTTTTATATGTATATGTACAAACTTTTATGTTAATGCCTTGCATCTCCCCATAACCTGGACATGAGTCTTCAGAGCAGAGCCCACATGGCTGCCACACTTCCAAGGCTCAAACCTATGCTAAAGATGCTTCCGGGGGCAGTCCAAGGGCCAGGACCCTACCTGAGGCATTTGGGCCCTTGGAGCATCTGACTGCTCCGAGTCTGTGTGGAACTTGTTCTCTGGTGTGGCCAGCAGCCACCTGACCACCGTGCATTCAAGGGAGCACTGGGGCTTCTGTGGAGATCAAGGCTGTTGGCCGGAGCCAAGGCACAACTGGTAGGAGGCCCCCACCCAGGGACCCACTGCAGGCCCCAGGTCCAGGAGAGGCTGGAACGTGACTATCACTCTGGACACGGGAGGCTGAAGGAGGCTGCCCTTTGGCACTGCCTGCCCACGTGGCAGAATAGGAGCCCAAAACTCAGGACCAGTCATGGGCCAGGAGGTCAAGGTCTGGGGTTTCCTGTCCCCACAGGTCAATGGTGACAGCCTGGGATCTGACATCCGAAGTGGGGCTCCTCCTCTCTCAGGCTCAGCTCACTCTCCGGACACATGACCACAGGTCTGGGAGGCACCCCACAAGCTGTGTGAAATAAAAAGTGCCTGAAACATTTTTATGCCATACCTGCTCAGACCAGCTCCAGGTTGGAAGAGCAGGGACCATAGGTGGGTGGGAATCAGCCCTGGGTCCTCGGGCTAAGAAGGATACAGGGCTGGGGGTTGTACCCCTTGTCTGGGAAGACCTGCCTTGTTCTTCAGCAAACAGTACTATTGGAAATCACTTGCATTGCTCAGTGAGGCAGGGGGGCTTCCTGGAGATGCTTCTTGGTGATGCAGAAAGCCAAGGGAGCAGGGAGCCCCTGGCAGAGCTGCATTCAGGCAGAAGAGCTCCCAGGGAACTCTCAGGTGGGGCCTGTGGGTGACCCTGAAGAACCCGAATCCAGACTACATTGAAGAGACTTAGAGAGCTTGTCCAAGGCCACACGCTGTGATTGGGTGGGTGGCGTTGGGGTTCAGATCCTGCCCTGTCTGCCTCGAGACCCCCTTTATCCACCATGGGTTTGGTCTCCTCCGTGGTAGTTTGCAAGGACATTAAGCCCATGCGTATGACCAGGACATAGGTGACCTGAGGGGTGGGGAGATGAGGGCTGCATGCCCAGCTCCAATCCCTGTGAAGCCCCCATCCTCACTCTGTCCACTGCAGGAGGGGGCGGGCGCTCTGCAGGCCTGGGGTGTGGGGAGAGTCCGAAGAACTGACCAGCTTCCTGGGGACCGAGGTGGGGTTCCCTCCATGGAAACCTGGTCGTTAGGAATGGCCCCGTCCCTGGGGCAGGCACTGTCACACTGCCCATTTCCCAAGGGAGGAAACAGACCCAGAAGAAATTCGCTCAAGGCCACCGCAGGAGGCGGAGTCAGAGGCGGACCCGGAAGCTCATAATTGCAGAAATCGGGGCCCAAAGCCTAAGCCTAGGATTCCTAAGTCCCAGGGCAGGGCGCTCTCCTCCAGCAGAACCCGGGGAAGGCCTCCTGGACGCGGAAGCGCTCACTGGGGGAAAACCGAGGCAGGGGTGGCCTACGGAAGAAATTTTGAGGTTGGGGAAAGGAAGAAGGAAAGGACTCGTTCCACGCTGCTCCGACCCCAAAGGACCCGGTGCGTTTAAACATTCCGTGAGGTTGAAAACTCGCGAGGGAAAGACGCGACCCAGTCCTGAATAAATATGAACCAGACGGTGCCTCTCCCTGAAACACGGCATTACTTCCGCCACAAGCAAAGATGGAACAGCGGAGCCCGTCCGTCCGGAAGGAGGCCCCATAGAGGCACTTCCGCCCCCCCTCAAGATGGCACCAGCGGAAGGGGCAGGGAACCGCTGGGTGGCGATGGCAGCGTCGAGGCTGGAGCTGAATCTGGTGCGGCTGCTGTGCCGCTGCGAGACGATGGCAGCAGAGAAGCGGGACCCGGACGAATGGCGGCTGGAGAAGGTGAGGGGAAACCGTGCGGCCGCGTAGAGCCCAACCCCCGGGGGGAGGTCCCCAGACATGGCGGCCACCGGACTCAACTCCCCGCCCCAGCAGCCATTGACCACGCCCTTCCCGGCCGGCTCTGCCACGTCCACCTGCAGCCCCGGCCCGGCCCCGCCCCCTGGACTTTTCTGGGGCCGCCCCTTTGGTGTGTGGCCCCCTACCCTTTCTGACCCAGCCCCTCACCGGCTCTGACCCCTCAGAGCGGTACCTGGAGACCTAGGGGTCTGGAGGGGGTCAGAGTGACGCTTCACTTTCCCTCCCCAGTACGTGGGGGCCCTTGAGGACATGCTGCAGGCCCTGAAGGCTCAGGCGAGGTGAGTGCAGGTGGCTACAGGGAGTTTGAATCCTGGGTGGGAACCAGCAGGTCAGCTCCTGTTTGGGGGGATTGCTGGGCTTCGGCCCCTGCTGAGACCCTTCCCTGAACTGGGGGACAGTGGGCAGGTTTTCCTCTTCTTGACTTCCAGCAAACCAGCCTCAGAGGTAATCAATGAATATTCCCGCAAGGTGGATTTTCTGAAGGGAATGCTGCAAGCCGAGAAGCTGGTGAGTAGGGGTGCCTCCACTATCAGGCTCACCTGGGTCCCCAGGAGCCACCCTTCTGGTGACCCCTCTCCTCTCTTCTGCAGACCTCTTCCTCAGAGAAGGCACTAGCCAACCAGTTTCTGGCCCCCGGCCGTGTGCCAACCACAGCCAGGGAGCGGGTGCCTGCCACCAAAACAGTGCATCTGCAGTCACGAGCACAGTACACCACCGAGATGAGGAGTGAGCTTCTAGCCATGGTAGGGCTCCCTCTCTGGTCCTTGGGAACCATTGGTCAGTGACAGGAATTCAGTGCCTGGGAATGGCCAGATCAACAAATATTGTCAGGGGCAGGGATCCTGGGGGCCCAACAACCTCTGCCCTGGGCTATCCGACAAGGCTTCCCAGCAGAGAGGTACTGTGGCTAGGGCTTTGCTGGATGAATATAGGAGTTTGGTACAAGGCAAAAATGGCACCTGTCTGGTTAAACCCCAGAGTTGTCCCAGAGCAGATGAGTTTGTCTCCTCTTGCCATAGACCAGTTTTTTCATCTGTAAAACAGAAAGACAAGTGCCTTTCTAAGGACCGTATGTGGATCAGCTACACCCTTGAAAATATGAGTTGTTGTTACCAGTTTACAGATGAGAAAGCTGAGGCTCAGCAGTCACAGGACTTTCCCAGGGCCCTGACTGAGGCTGGGGAGTTTCTGAGAGCAGAAAGGACGAATTTGGGGGCATGATGAGATGAGTAACTTCATGTCCATCCTTTTTTCTCACAGGACTCTGCTGGAGGTGAGTTATCCTAAGTAGAACAGGACTCAAAGCTCAGCCTGGTAGAAGACATGTAATGTATCCTTGCTGCCCCACATCCTTCAGGCCTTCCCTGGCTACTACAGTGTCTTCTGCAGGCCAGGGAGAGTTACATTAGGGGTCAGAGGACAGGGCAGAGGAAGTCATCACCAAAAGAAACAGCTGGAGACGCCCACCACATGAGGCCAAGATTATGCTGGCAGGAGGGACCTGAAGCTGGGGGGGTGCCCAGAAGAGCATGAGAAAAATTTCCCAGAAGAGAGGGCATTTGATCTAGCACTTTGAAGCATAATTAGGAGCCCAGTGGTTGGGAAATAAGACAGGAAAGGACATTATCAGTAGCAGGCACATCACAGGTAACGGTCAGAAAGCTGGAAAACAGAAACTGACCTTCCCTTTCTTCCTCCTTGGCCTGTTTTGCTTCCAGAGCCTGAGCTGGATGTGAGGAAGAGAATGTGAGTGTCTTCAGCGCTTGGGCAGCACTGGTGGGAAGGGGGGCTGGACAAACCAAGGCACCATTGACGCACTAGCACAGTCTCTGAGTCACCAATCAGAACTTACTTCTAGGGCTGCTCTTCCCAGAAGCCCAAGCAAAGAAAGGGAAACTGAGCCCCAAGCAGGGCAGTGGCTGGAGTCATAATCTCTGGGTTCTTTGGGAACATGTCAATCTCTTCCTCTCCCCTACCGCATCTCATTCCCAACTGTGCACCCACATGTGGGGTCAGTGGGGTGTCAGGGCCCAGGCCAGTGGATGAGAAGCAGTCGGCAGCCGAACTAGACCTCGTCCTGCAGCGACATCAGAACCTCCAGGAGAAACTGGCAGAGGAGATGCTAGGCCTGGCCCGGAGCCTCAAGACCAACACACTGGCTGCCCAGAGCGTCATCAAGAAGGACAACCAGGTGCGAGAACTGTGAGAACGTCCCAGCCTCTGCCCTGAGGCATCAGAGAAGGTTTCCCAGTATAGGGGCATTTTGGGCAGGGCTTTGTTGGATGAATAAGAGTTTGATGGAAGGCAAAAGTGGCATTCTCAGCAGAGGCCACCACACCCCCTTGGGCCAAGAGGTTTAGACTTGCCCCAGGGCAATACAGAAACTATGTGTCCATAGCCCTGTTGATACTTTCCCCACTTCCCCCTACAGACCCTGTCACACTCACTCAAGATGGCTGACCAGAACCTAGAGAAGCTGAAGACAGAATCAGAGCGGCTAGAGCAGCACACACAGAAGTCAGTCAATTGGCTGCTCTGGGCCATGCTTATTATTGTCTGCTTCATCTTCATCAATATGATCCTCTTCATCCGTATCATGCCGAAACTCAAATGAAGACCTGACCTAACTCATCTTCTACCCTCCATCTGTCCATGGGTGCCCTTTGGGGTTGGCAACAAGATATGAGGGTTTTTGAAGGTTCCTGAGAGCCACAGAGTGTGCATGAGCAGGAGAGCAAGGTCAGTCTGCAGGAGTGGTAAATCAGCAAACTCTCCTTCCATTCCCCACTGGTACCTTCCCCACACTGAAAAAGACTGAGCCCCAAGAACCCCCAGTCTAGTGCAGTGAGAGCCAAATATAATGCCCTTCAGCCCTGTGGGGTCAGGGTGATGCCTGGAATGTGGGAGAGGAGTGGGGGTGCGGGTGCCTGGAGGTCAGCCTGAAGGAGGGGCCATCAGTGCTGGGGCTTCCTTGGGATTGAAGGTGGTAATTCAGGGACTGGGCTCAGCCCAGCCATAGCCTAACTGTTTAGGAAGCTGTGTAGGCTTCAGGCAATCATTCAGCAAACACGTAAGGGTCAGTGGAGGCTCTGCCCTGCCCTATCAGGTCACAGTCTGATCATTGCAGAGGAAAACGGGTGGCCACTGGAGTTGGGACCCTGGAAGAGGTCATAGAGTGGGAATCCCAGGGGAACCATTGGTCTTGGGCTCTGCTCACTCCCACTCCATATTCCTGAGGCAAAGCCTATACCGGGGTTGACCAAGGGAGTTTTGTGAGGGAGAGTGGAGAGATGACATGGGGCTATGTAGGGAAAATGGAAGTTCCTGTAGCCAGGATCCTCACCTGACCATAAACTACTTGATGATGTAATTGGCTTATTGCTAAGCTAATGCCTCTACACCCATTAGCAATGAGCTATTATTGACTGAGTTGCTATATAAAGCACTCCACCTAGTGCTCTGGGCAGAGTGCTCCATCAGAGATGGAGATGGATTACGGACCTGCAGACTACTGGATGCAGACATGATTCTAGTGCTCAACATACCGCCATGAGAATAAAGCTGGGTATAAATCCTTTTACCCCAAGAATGTTCTGTTGTCATATCTTGGTCTCACTGAATTCATAGTGAACTTGCCCAGGGCTGAAACCCTCAGGCAAGACAGTGCCTGTCCCAGACCCATGGAAGCATAGGTTAGACCCTATGGGCCATGCATGGATGAGCCCACATGGACACCTCCCCTCTCCACCAACAGGAGGGCAAAGCCACCAGGTAGACCTTTTTATCTGCTCTAGTGGCAACTTTTTAATAGATCATAAGAAGGCTCACACACCTGAGATGGAGCTAATTCATTAGGAAGCCTGTCATTAAGGCAACAGGAAACAAAACTGTAAACAGGGTGAATTAGTACTTTGTACTAATAAGCATCCATTACTCAACAGTTCTTAATGAGGAATAGATGGATATTTTCCTTACCTAACTGAAAAATCTCAAGCACTGTGGGAAAACCAGCATTTCCCTGGTGCAGGTCAGGTGAAACCTCACTGAAGAAAACTTGACCATATTTTTCCAAATAAAATACACAGGTCTCCTTGCCCAGGCAAATACACTTATAGGAATTTGTGTGACATAATCCTACAAGTGGCCGAGAAATTTGCACCTGAGTATTTCTTGCAGCACTGTCTGTAGTGAGGGAAATATTTACCTTTGTGTGTCATTTAATTAGGAAACAGAAGAAGGCACATTACCTGCTGCCCCTGGGGACGGATGGATGAAAAGCTCACTTTTGCCCTAATGTATCTTTTCTATTGCTTTAATTTTTCTAAACATGCCAGTAGTGATTATTTAAAGAAGTACTTTTTAAATACAACTGTTGGGTAAATAAGTGCAAGTTCGCCAAAACCAGCAGGTTTTCTGACCAAAAAACTGAGGGTCAGAGAGGGTGGGTCACCAGCCTCCAACACAGTGCAAAACGGACTTTACGTTAGACACGAACTTGCGCTTACAGGGTGTGAGTCCACTTCCCGTCGCCAGGCCCTGCCCCCTCGCCGCGAACTCCACCCCATCCTGTCGGAGCCCGACCCGGCCCTGCGGAGCAGCCTCGCCAGTTGGGTCCAGCCTTGAAGTTAATGCACAGCTCCGACTCAGGCGCCTCTCTGGAAACGGACCCAGGCTCGAAGCCCCGGACGCTGGGACAGGTGACCCCCCCGGCCGTGCGACCCGCAGCCGGGGCGGAGGTCCTGGGGGGCTCCTCGGGGGAGGTGTCCGCGGACTTCACGCTCTCTAGTGGGTGGGGCTACAGCAGCACGGGAGTTAATTTGAGCCAGGCCCGGAATGCGAGGTGGTGTCACGGCTCGTTTGCATAGCGCCCTTCTGGAGTACGCAGCCAGGGGCGGGGCCCGGGCTGTTCTGAGGGCCAATCGCGTGGAACTTATGCAAATAGTGGGGCTGTCGAACGCGCACGCCGGTCGTGAGTTTGTAGCTCTGGAGTCCGCCTCCCCCGTGGTCTTCCCCCTTGCCAGCCTCCAGGTGCAACCTCCTCCGGTGTCCACAGGCCGCCCGCTGCCTGCCCCCGCCACGCGCGGGCCACGACGCCCCCCGCAGGGCTCACCCGCCGCCCCGGGGACGCCCGAGCGGCGCCTCCCCGAGGCCGATGCCCACCCGGGAGTCCCAGCATAACCGCGGCTCCCGGGGGGACCTGCAGACCCACCCACCTGGCCCTGGGCCCCCGGTGAGTCTGAAAGGGAGGAGGGTTCCAAGGCCGAGCCTAGGCAAAGGATTCAATTCCCCCCAGGTTGAGGGAATCCGGCCTCCCGATACCCTCTTTAACACCAAACCATGATGCCTGCGGCGTCTGCAGCCACTGGTGGTGCCTCGTGTCCTGGAAACCAGCCCCTGCCGCCCTATGGGGCAGCCCCAGCCAGAAGCCCACAAGGCAAAGCCCAGGAAGATTGTATTTGAGGATGAGTTGCCCTTCAGGGCCCTCCTGAGCACCAAGAAGCCTATAGGAGCCGTCCCTGGGAGGCATATGCGTAGGCCCTGCCCAGTGCCCGACTATGAGCTGTGAGTCCCCATGCTGTTCCTGGTGCCTGAGAACAGGAAGGGGGACTGAGGCTGGGCTGGGGCTCTGACAAATAGAGTTTACCAGATAGTAAAAAAGGAAAAAGGAGTTTGGGGCAGAGAGCTCTACATGGGCAAAGAAAAACCAATTACACTCTGGGGGAAAGGAAGGGATTCTTTACACTCACACTCTGACCCCCTTTGAACCTGGCAGTAAGTACCCACCCGTGAGCAGTGAGCGGGAACGTAGCCACTACGCAGCAGTATTCCAGGACCAGTACACAGAGTTCTTGGAGCTCCAGCAGGAGGTGGGCTCTGCACAGGCTAAGCTCCAGCAGCTGGAAGCGCTACTGAACTCACTGCCCCGTGCCAGAAGCCAGGTCAGCACCCAGGCAGAAACCCCTGTCCCACAGCCCTTCCAGTTGGCCTGAATACGGCCTCCAAGACATCCCAGTCTTTGGGCCCTTCCTCCTCCAGGCTGGGTGGGCACTACAGCACATGGGCCAACGTCAGCCCTTGAGGTCCTCCATAGACAGTTTGTCTCTCTGAGTCTCAGTTTCCCTGTCCCTCTTTGGTGCCGGCACTCCCTGAGCACTCCGTCTTTCTCCCATTGCAGAAGGAGGCCCAAGTTGCTGCCCGTGTCTGGAGGGAATTTGAGAAGAAGCAGACAGTGAGTCGTGCCTCCTGAGTCCCATAGGCTGGCCTTTGTACCCCTGACATTCCTACGAAACTGGGACACATGTGCCCAGTTTCAAAGACAGAAAACTAAGGCTCAAAGAGGAAAAGGGTTGAGCAGCTTGAGGACTGTAGGTCACACTGCCACGAGGACTTCCCCGGCTCTCACCCTGCCCAGGACCCCAGCTTCCTGGACAAGCAGGCTCGCTGCTGCTACCTGAAGGGCAAATTAAGGCACCTCAAGATGCAAATCCAGAAATTCGATGAGCGAGGAGACAGTGAGGGATCTGTGTACTTCTGAGCATCCGGGCAGACAGAGGGACACACTGGGGTGCCCCACCCTACCTTCTCTCCCTACCTCCCAGCCTTAGCTCTTGCTGTTCACTGTGACTGGGCAATTTTCCCTGATTGCAAATGCCTCAGCCTTTGAGGCCTGGCTCTGATGGTCCCTCCTCCAGGAAGTCTTCCTAGGATCCCCTCTGGGGCACCCAGCCCTGACCCCAGATCTCAGCCCATCCCCTAGAAGCAGCTCCTGCTTTCCATCCCAGTGGAATAAACATTTATTAAGTTCCTACTGTGTACAGCTGCTTAACACTCCTGACCTCACTTAGTTGTCACTGAAAAATTATTCTTAAAAAAACCGAGGTTCCAGGAAACGGACTTGTCCAGGGTCTTTGGGCAGGGTGTGAATCCTTGTCTGTCCAGAAGCCTACCTCTACTACAAGAGCTTCAAGTAGCCTTCCAGTGGGAAGCTGAAGGGCTGACATCCAGCATCACCTCCTCAGCCAAGCTTGGGGTTGGAGAGCCCCAGGGCCCAAGAGTTTCTATTAATCCAGTAATGGAAGGAAGCAGGTCTAGAAGAGGTTCAGTAATCTTGCTGGGACAGCATCCCAAAGACTTCACGTGGTGTAATTCTGGAAACTGCCTGAAAGAGGCAGACAGCCTGGGAGCCCTGTAGGATGCCTTGATGCCAGCCCACATAAGTGGAACCCTAAAGTTCTCTTCTCCCAGGACACTGCAAACTGAACAGTGATTGAAGCCAGGTGCTGTGTTGAGTTCATGCACCTGATCCTGGGGAGGGTCACCTAGTGCCCACCTCTTGCTGGGCCCTGGGTAGGGTGGGTGGGCACTGATAGGGCCAGGTGGTCCCCAAGGGGCTTTGTGATAGTGGGCCAGCGGCTGCCCTCTTTTGAGTCTTGGCCTCACAAGAGAGCCTCAGGGATACAATCAGGGAGGCAGATTGCAGGCAGGAAGGGCAGTGCCAGCCAATGAGTCACAGGACTCAGTCCAGGATCAATCCTCACGGAACCCCTGTCCACAGGGAAGACAGCCCTGTGCCCAGTGTGATAGAGTAGTAATGGAGAACTGGACAGCAGAGTCTTAACCACCAGGGAGGCTCAAGATGTCTTCTTGAAGGAGGGTCAATATGGGTAGGGCTTTGCAAGAGAAGTAGGAGTTCAGCATCAGGCCTAGACAGACATCCAAGTCTCTGGCCTGGGGACTGGACATCAGGTCAGACAATGCAGTGGGTTCATTCAGTCCTCAGATATCCTGCAAGCCTCAGAGGTTGTTGCTCTCCAGCCTGACTGTAGTGGGCATATGTTCCCTTACCCACAGGACATCTTGAAAGATTCTGATGCAGGACGGAAACCAGTCCAACCTCCATGGGAACCCAGTATCCTCTTAAACCCACTCCTACCTCAGTCCCGTTCTGGGGGCAGGGCATACCTAGGAGACCCACATTCATTCACAGGAAACGGCCATTCCCTGCACCTTACCAGGCCTCCGAGGATGGATAGTAAGGCTGGTGTCGGCCCCTCCCCGCCTCTGACCCGCAGATAAGGGAGGAGAGGCAATGAGATATAGAAGACCTGAAAGGACCAGCCAGGGGGCTCAAGACATAACAGCGCAAGAGTGGTGCCGAGAGGGCACCCTTCGTATTTATTAAGCAAATGAACCCAGACATCCAAAGAATTCTGAGTAGGGGGTTCAACACATACATGATCAACACACAATCATTATCTGACCTTGAGTCCAGCCCTAGGATGTGACACTCCTCAAGGACACCGAAACCATGTGAGGGTGGTCACGAGTTGTAGGAACTGTTTTGTCTTTACTCGTTTTGTTACTGATCATGCATCAGGAGTTGTAGGAGAAACAATCAGGGCATATGCATTTGTACATCTGATTTCTATATTACTTGACTTATGTATTAATCCCATTAATCCCACAGCTGAGTTCTTAGAGGCTGCATTTTGGAATAGTGGGACTGCCTGTTGAGGTCTGAGCGTTAGCCCAGCCTGTGGGTGAGACCTGAGTTCTCTGTTTTCAAAGGGGCATCTTTGATGGAGGGCTTGTCTGCCTGGCAAGACCTCATTCAGGGCCAAGAGGTGCCACCCCCACCTACCACCATCCAGGCCCTTCCTACCCACCTCCTAGACCCAGCGTCCTGCCTTCCCCACCTGGGCCACAAATTATAAATGAGGCCAGGATGGCAAGGTCCTGGTGCTTTGCATCACCCCACATCAGTTCAACCAAGTCCACCTTTGAAAGTCTGTCCTTAAAGGTTCCCAATTTCCAAATGCCATTCACCAAAACAGGAGTCTTCTAGTTACTCGTGAGAAGAAACCAAATTCAAACTGCCTCAGGCACAAAAGGGGAAAGAGGCTCATGGAACTGAAACACCTGGAACCATTTCAGTTACAGCTTGATCAGGGGTTCCAAAGGTATTCTGGGAAATTGGTCTTCCTCTTTTGACTCTGCTATGTGCTTTGAATTATATCCTAATTCCAAATCCTACCATCAACTCTCATTGGCCAGCTTTGGACCATGTGCCTTCCCTGGACCAATTGCTATGGCCAGGGGAATAGAAGGCTGGCTGGGCTGAGGGCATGTGACAAAACTAGCTCCAAACGTTTCTCCTGAGGACACTGGGGCCCAGATACCATCTGCTGGGTTCAACTCCTACAGACTCACTGGCTGACCTCGGGCCCCCCTCTCTGCCCTCAGTCTCAATCTCCCCACAAAACTGTCTTAACAAAAATAGCAAGTAGGGCTCTTGGGTTGTGGATGTTCTGGATGGCTGGGAGTGGGTACCCATGGTAGGGTGCCCTCCACCCCACGCCCCCACCCCAAAGATGACAGAGGCTATGTGGGTAGGAAATGTCTTTATTATTGGCCTTAATTCATTCATCATGTAGTGTCCAACATGGATTACACGTCCAGAGGATCCACCTGCCACACGCTACCCCTGCCTGGCCAGTGGCTGCCCTTCTAGTCCAGACATCAGGCCTTTGTCCATGACACAGGGAAGCCAACCCCACTGTCCCACAAGTTCATGCACGGGGCACTGAGGGACCGGGCTGTCCCAGGATTGGACCCTCAGTCCCTCCCACCCCCCATCTTGGCCAGGGGTTCCGGGGAGGATGAAGCTGGAGTCTGGACAATCAGTCTCTTTTTGGTTTCATGATCATTTTAAAAAAAGAAAAGACAAGCATTTCAGTCTTTAAAAAATAGTCTGAGAGAAGCCAGGGTCCTCCACCTGGGGCCGCACTCCAGACCCAATCATCCACATCCCTTGAGGTCTGTAGACCCAGCCACAGTGCACCAGGCCCTGTCCAGTCACTGGCCTGAGCCATAGGGCCAGTTGAAGGTACTTCCCGACAGCAGCATATCTCGGATCAGCGTTTCAATGGGCGTCTTACCTACCAGGCGCATGAAGAACAGCTGGGAGATGAGGGAGGCCGGGACGGCGCGCAGGGCTGGGAGCCGCAGCAGCAGGCGCCCAAAGCGCTGGGGCTGGGACGGGTATTGGGCCCGCACGTACTCGGTGAGGGCCACCTGCGCCTTCTCCTGCAGGCTCTCCACGTGTGCTGGGTCCGAGAGGCCACATGCATCTGGGGGCACGAGGGCAATGTCAGAAATGGGAGGTGGTGGGAGTATGTAGAGCCCCAGGGGACCGGGGTACACCACTCAGGGCTGTGGATACCGAGGGCAGAGACACTCGGAAGTGGGAAAGGGGGGCCTGGGGCGCAAATGGGGGTAATCGAAGGAGTGTCAGACCTCATGATTTGAGGTGGTGTTATCTGAGGACAATGACACAGGGATGCAGGCAGTTAGGTTTCAAGGGTAGAGAAGCCTCAAAATGATGCCTTTGGCAGGGAAACAAGTTCTACTCAAACTCAAGGGGAAGCAAAGGTCTGGGGAACGGCTTGGGAAGTCAGGCAAAGCCCAGAGGGGCCTGGAATGTGAGTGAATGTGACAGTGTCCCATGAAGCAGAGAAGGAACTGAAAAAATACTCTTACGAGGAAAGAGAGGCAAAAGCCATATTTATCAAATGAAAGCCACTTCCCAGAGTGGCCTGGTCTGGTTCCTGCATCCCTGGTCCCAAGGAGACACCTAGTGGGATCTGGAACCTTCTGGAGCCTTCCAGAGCCAGCTCTGCAGTAAGGTAGGGCTTCGGCGGCTGGGTAGTTAACTAATGGCAAGGAAGGTATTCACACAGCCTTGCCTGTCAGTGGGAGAGGCCTTGAAGCCATGGTCCTACCCAATCCAGCTCAGCCTGCCTCGGGCTGGAAGCCCTGGGCCAGAGGTCTGGGGCCAGGAATCGGGGAGTGGAGAGCCCAGAACCAGCTGTAAGGGCACCCCTGCCTGGCAGCCCTCTGTAAGTACTTACAAAGCAGGAAGAGCACCCTGATTGGGCGGAGTGGGTTTAGAGAGCAGAGATCAGGAACTGAGAACCAGGCTGGGTGTCAGGGACCTCCCCGCCCACATGCCTCCACCTCTAATTCTGCTGTCAGTGCTCACTGAGCACGAAGAACACCTTGATGTCGGCGGGGGGGGGGCAGTCTCAGGGAGCCCGGGAGTCAGGGAGAAAGGTCGTGGGGACCTGAGTCCCACCTTTGGGCCTGAGGGAACAGGTTCTTGTTAGACCTGGGATCAAAAGGGCGCATCAGAGTGTCATACTGTGTACATCATCCCCTCCACAGTCCCCCATCAGCGTTCAGGTTGCGTGCTGGACCGCAGCTCTGGGAGTGGAGGGCTATGGGGCCCGGGGTCAGGATCGGAATCTCCCCACTCCTACCCGTAAAGCCTTGGCCGCAAAGCCCCGCCCTACCCCGTCGAGGGCATCTCACCGGGAGTGAAGAGTGCGATGGCCTTGAGGCAGCCATACTCGGCCGAGTCGACCTGCAGGCGGCCCAGCTTGTCCACCTGTTCCTGGAAGGCGCGCACCTGGTCCATGAAGGCCACAGCACGCTCGGCGGCCATGGGTGCAGCGTGCAGGCCTGCGGCGGCCAGCAACGGCGCGGTGTGCAGAGGCAGCGCCGCCTGCGCCGCGTTCAGCACGAAGAGCTCGCTCCAGCTGAGGCGCAGCAGCGCCACCTGGTCGGCCACGGGCAGTTCGGGGAAGAAAGGCGCGTGGCGCGCCCACTCCACGGTGCTGAAGAGCAGCCGCGCCGCCAGCTCGCACACGTTGTCGATGCCCAGCACGGCGCCCGCCGCGCCGCCCCCCGCGCCGAACGCTCCCGCCGCGCCCGCGCCAAAGCGCCCGGCCGCCGCGGGGTAAGGCTCCGCGCGCAGTAGCTGCGCGATCAGCTCCGACACCGGCTGCCCCGGGAACAGGTCTCCGCCCGCCGCCGCCGCCAGCGCTGAGCCCGGGGGGCTGCCCGAGGAGGCAGCCACTGCGCCGGGCAGCGAGTGCGGAATACGGCCGCGCTGCACCGCTGCGGGGATGGAGGGAGAGGACAGGGAGGCGGGGAGGGAGATTAGGGCCGGGAAGGGACGGGGAGAGGGGATGGGGACCAGGATCAGGGCAAGGGGAAGGGGAGAGGAGTGGGTTTGGGGAGTCATGGGGAGGCCAGAGGGCAGAGGAGTGGGATGAGGGGGAAGGGCAGGGAAGGAACAAGGGGAAAAGTGGGTATCCAGAAAGTCATGTGGGGCAGATAGGAATAACGGGGGAGAGAGAAAGCCATCAGGGGGTCACTCAGCAGCTCCCCAAAAAGCCCCATGCCCTTCCCTGGACCCCCAACTCTACCCCAGGGGTGTACAGCCTGGCTAGAGGCCTGCAGCCTCAGCCACTGTCCAGCCCCTCCCCCAACCCCTGCCTCTTCCCGAATGGAACTAATGACAGTGAGGGCCAATTCATCTCATGCCCTGCCCCCACCCACTGGACTGTGTAAGCCCCAGGCTCAGCAGCCAGAGGCTCAACCTATCATTCATGTCCCCATCTGTCAATTATGGAGAATCCAAGAGCTGAGAATGGGGTCAGGGAGGGGGCACCTTCCTACTACTTGGGGCCCCTGACAAGCCTACCCCAAAAGTAAGTGACTCTCCTATGGAGGTGGGATCCTTTCTACAGCTCCCAGCCCCATCTCCCAGGTCACAGTCCCCAAGAGCAGGTTGGTTGGTCTGTCTAGGCCCCTGCAGGGACCCCAGTACTAGGTCCTGGTCTTTAGCAGGTGTTCAATGAACATTAGCTTCCGTTGGTAGCCTTGCCTGTAACAGGGGGAAGATCCATCTTTGGCCTCAGCCAGTGTCCCCAGTGATCAGGTGGGTGGCAAGAGGGAAACTGACAGAAAGAGGAGGATGGTGGCCTCATGTCTGCCTGGCCTTTGTCACAGGATCTGAAGCCCTGATTTGAAATACAGCAGGATTTTAGGTCACATGGACAAGTGGGGGAAAAACCCAGGCTGGGGCAGGGAGCAGGAGCATTGCCCCAAACTTAAAAGGACCAAAGGGAGTATCAGACTGTTTTAAGAGAACAACTCTGAGCAGGAGAGACTCAGGTCAGATTCAAGGAAGAACTGCCAGCCTGACCTATGGCAGTCCAGGCAGAGACACGGCCCCACATGGGGTTCTCATCTAACAAGCCGGATTCTGCTCCCAAACCCCCAGGCTCCATGTGGAAGCCTCTGGGTTCCACTTGAATTCTACGAGTATTAATTGACTTCTAGGCTCAGCTGCGGGATGTGTGTCCTCTCAAGTCCCCAGGGCAGAGACAACAGGCTGGGCCTCCCTCTGGCTCCCAGTGCCCAGGGTCAGGTGGAAGGATAAGCTGCCCTTGGCTTTAATCGGGCAAGTTCCTGCCTTGGGCAAACACAAAGCAAGGGGTGGAGGGTGGAGGGAAAGCAAATCAAATAAAAATATATATCCTCATTCATAAAATGGTGGCCAGGCTAGAGGGCAGAGGGGCACTGCGGTGTCAGGGACAGGAATCCGACCTCTGAGGCCAGGGGGACCTAGGGAGAAGGGGCTGGGGACTGGAGAGCAGTCCTAACGTGGGTCTGAGTTCAAGAGTCCATTGCGTCCCCAGCTGCACTACAGCAACCAGGCGGCCCCGGATAATTGGATTCCTTCCACCCAGGGCCAGACTAAGGCCCTCGGGATCTCAGTATCAGTGGTAATGAGGTTAGCAAGCACCCTCTGCAGCTCCCAGACCCTAACCTCCCCAGCCTCCGTAGAGAGAGGGGGCTTAGGGGAAGGCTATTTGTTCCCCTGCACTGTACACCAGCCCAGCAGGTGCTCACCCTCCTTCCTCATGCCGACCCGGAAGCACTTCTTGAGGCGGCAGTATTGGCACTGGTTTCGGTGATGCTGGTCAATCTGACAATCACGGTTGGACCTGTAGGCACACAGAGGCCACCGTGATAGTCACCATGACACCCACATCCACTGCACCTGATCCACCCTGTATACACTACCTTTGAAGGCTGCACCTGAGAAACACCATGCCAGGCTGGGCAGGTGGCCCCAAAGGGGCACAGAGACTAAGCCTGCCAGGTCTGCAAAGAGGAAATGGCAACCAGAGTAGGTAATGACAGATGAACAGGAGTATGTGGCAAAGTAGACTGGCACACTAGGGAGGATATATTGAAAGTGGGTTTTGAAGGATGAATAGAAGTTTCCCAGGTGACTAAAGAAACAATGCCAGGCAGGTGCTGCAACAGTAGCAAAAGGTTGGAAGTGCAAAGATGTGAAAGCCTGAACAGTTTCATTTTTCTTGTCAATGTCAGACTAAAGGACAGGTTCTTTATCCCAAGGGCAAGGTGAGAGCAGCAATGGTACATGATCAGAGAGACGGGCTATGTGAGTTGACTAAGAAAGAGATGGGGGCCAGGCCAAGCCAGCACCAATCTTCTGTGGGCTCACAGCACCCACCACAAGGCTACCACAAATGAAGGAACCGAAGGAAGGAAGGAGGGAATTGTTTCCCTTTTAAGATCTCACACCCATGTCCCGTCTTCTAGGAAGACCTTCAACTCCTGAGCCGAGAAGCTTCCTCTGGGTGGCCTTCAGAGATTGTCATTGCCTATTCCAGGAAAGGGAGAGGGAGCCACCCCATGCAAGGCAGTGAGCTCCCGTCTAGGGTCAGTCCCAAGCAGAAAGGTTCAGGCCTTTTTTCTTCAAATGTCCCTAGCACCTCTTCCCTTTGGCCTCTGACCACGGCAGGGCTCAGGGCTGTCCAAGGCTCAGACTGGGGCAGACACCCCTAGGTTCCCGCTGGGCACCACATGGATACCCAGAGACAAAATCACAGAGTAAAACACTCCTTAAAGTTAATCAAACACATCTAAGCTGCAGACACCCAGCCCTGACCCTTGGACAGCAACTTCTCCACTGAGCCTCGGTTTTCTCATCTGGAAGTGGGAGGTCACATGGCAGCTCCATATGTGATGCACTAGATCTGGGGCAACCTGGGGAGCTGTGGGGGGTGGCATTGAGACCCAGGCCCCAGTTGGAAGTCCCAATGGCAGGTTTCAGAGAGCCCAGGCCTCTGACCCCTGCCCAGCCCAAGCCCCCAGGAAGAGGCCCTGCTAGGGTGGAGGGAGCTCAGGCAGAACCAGAACAAAGCCCAGCAGGCATGCAATGGGAGGGTCTTGGGCAGCGGGGTGGAAACAGCCAGGCCTGGGGTGGGCAGGCAGGCAGGGGCTCAGCTCAGGGTCCCCTGACCTCAGTGGAGGCCCTGAGACTTCTGCCTCAACTTCCCCAGCTATGCAGTTGGGACAGATCTCTTATGCTTCCAGATGGGAAACCAGTAAGTCCTACCTGTTATCCCATCTAAATAGCACATGTTTGCCCAACCTCGTGGCCCAACTCAACCTACTCCCTGGCCTCCTGGCCTCCAGCCTAATTTGATCACAACCCTCCCTTGCCCTCACACACATTCTTCGACTTCCTGTCACCCTCAGTCCAGCATTTCAGGTCCACTCAGCCTTAAGTTCTCCTGTGCCTGGGAGACTCTTACCACACTGCATCTTCAACCTGCCACTCAGTGTCTGCCTGAGCCACGCTCTCTGCATGCGTGCCTTTCACCCCCTTCTACCTGCCAAACCCCTCATCCTTTAAGGTCCATCTTCTGTGTCTCTCCCTCCAGGCAGTCCTCTTTGACTCTCAGGCAGAGACCCTTCCTCCCTCCTGGGATTCCAGACCCATCCCTCCTCCTGGCCCAGTCCAGACTACACAGGCTGGGGGCATCAGCATCTCACAGACTGGGAGAGTGGTGAGCTTGGAGCTAGGGTCTCTATTGGGGACTGGCATCAAACCACCCAGACCAGGCCCTGAGGAGACTTTGCTGAATCAATCTGAGGCTCAGAGAGGGGCAGTGACCTCAGCAGGTAACCCAGTGCAGAGCATCTGAAGAACGTCCCAGCCCCAACGAATGCCCCTCTCCCCTGCCTTGATGCTCCTTGCCCCTGCCCTGAGGACGCCCCTGGATCCCAAGCTGCCTAAACCCTGCCCTTGCCTTCCCCAGAGACCTGGCCAGAGAGCAGGCAGCTATTCCAGCAACAAGAATGAGGACAAAGTCTGGTGGCCCAGTTAGCACTGGAGGAGGGGGCAAGCCACCCCAGGCAGGTCCTGACCTAGACCTGGGGCCAAACTCCAGCCTCAGGTCCCCAGGCCCCACCCAGTGGCCTTGCCAACAAGCTCTCCATCAGCAGCTCTCCATGGAGACACTCTGAGCAGAACTCAGATGCCCCCACTCTTCCCAACCCACAATTCCCCTTGCTAAGCCCCAACTGGGGCAGGTCTCTCCCTGGGTGACCCAGGACATGTGCCACTACCTCTCTGGACCTCAGTTTTGCACATCTGGGAAACGACTCCCCAGCCTGGCTCTGTAGAGCCTGGGCGTGTTCATGGGGGGCACAGAATAAACGGATGTCAATGGACAAAAGGACATTCACCCCAAGAGTGGTGGAAAAGGGGACCCTGGGCAGGATACCCAACCCCCAGCACTTTATGCTGGGGACCTAATACCTGTAGCAGTAACCAGAGAAGTTGGCCACACCTGTCTGCAGGGACTCTAACCTAGGACAGGATTCCTCCTTGGAAATATTCACCCCCACCGTCTCAGAGCCATAGAAGTTTCAGCGATTGTTCCAGGAGCCCCCGATCCCCACGCATTCCTGTCTGTGGGATGGAGCAGCCGAGGCACAGTCACATCCAGCTGCCCTCTGGACCTCCACTGGCGGTTTCCAGTGACCCAAGGCACAGGGTGAAGGGGGGAATCCCCCCCATAGGGATGCCCAGCTCCCTCCCACACACACACACAGCAGGGGCCCCCATGCGAAGGAAGCCGTCTTTGCCACCCCAGACTCTCTCCGATCGCCGCCTCGGTGGCCAGAGCGACTTTGGAAGTGATATTTGACCCCAAGGGCGCGCCGTATCGATCCGCGCGGCCGCAGACAATGGCTCCTGGACGCTGCGAGCTCCACAGTCCAAGTTCCACGTTCGACTCCCGTAGAATCCCCGAAGAGCCGAGGACCCCGAGAGAAGGGATGCCCGGGGTTTGGGTCCACCCCTGACTGCACCCCCAACTTCCCCCCAAAGCGAAGAAGATTCCTTTCCGTAGATAAGGAAGGAGGAGCGAAAACTGCGGCGGAAGCAGCAAAGAACCATCTGATCGAGGGGGACCTGCATCGATTCAGCGCCGACTGTATACATCCCAGGAATGGAATGGAAAAGGGTGAGAGGGTTGTGGCCCTATCTCTGAAGGGAGAGTAGAAGCCCAGGGAAGGTCAGCGCCAGGCCCAAGGTGACCGAGCGGGTCAGAGGCCCGGCCCAGGCCGGGGCAGGGTGCACAGCGGCGGTGCGCTGATAGGGGGCTCACCGGCAGGTGTAGCTGAGGTTGCGGCGGATGCTCCGCTTGAAGAAGCTCTTGCAGCCCTCACAGGTGAAGACGCCGTAGTGCTTGCCGCTAGACTTGTCCCCGCACACCACGCAGTCCACCTGCAGCCCCGGCCGCTCCTCGTCGCCCGGCTCAGCGTCGCTGGCGGCACCAGTGGGTGAGGCTGAGTCTTCCTCAGCCGCGCGCGGATAGCCGCTCGTCTTGTCCACGCCGTTCGTGTCGCCGCCGCCGCCGGGGCCGCCCCAGCCGCCGGTCACCATGGCCATAGCCTCAGGGCAGCGGGGCCGGGGCGCCCCCTCCGCGCTTCTCCCTCCGGGCACTCCTCTCAGCCCCGGGAACACTATCCGGGGCGCATCCGGCAGCGGCGCGCGGGGGGCACCAGCTGCACCCCCCAAAAAAGTTTTGCAGCAACTTCCTGCGACCGGTCCGCGCGCCCGGGCGTAACTGGTCGGGCCGGTTCCAGGCCAACTTTCCCACGCGTGCGCGGGGCCGGGCCTGGGGCCGAGGGGGCGCACTAGAGGCGCGGGCCGGGGGCCCCGGGGACTCGCGCCCCGCCGCCCTGGGGCCCCGGCGGGGGACCGCGGGCCATGGCTCCACCCAGGCTGCGCAGGGGGCGCCCTCTGGCCTGGCCGCCGCTCGGCCGGGGGCTGCGGCCAACTTAGCGGGCTGCCATCCGAGCGCGGGAGGCGGGGGGTAAAGTTTGGCCGCAAGTTGCGCTGACGCCCGCGGCTGGGGGGAGGGGCGCCGGACGCGCGCCCGAGCCGGTCGCCGCGCCCCCTCGGTCCCCCGGGCCCCCAGGCGGCCGCTCGGGGCCTGTAGGGCCGCGGGCCGGCGTTTCCCAAGCTGCTGCCCCTGCTGCGGCCTCGCCCGCCCGGCCTGGGCCTGCGCCTGGGCCCCAGCCACGCTCTAGCCGCCTCCGCCGACCCCGCGCGCCGGCCTCGCGCTGCGGCCGGCTTGACACACAACGTTCCATTCGCGGGGCGGGCGGGGGGCGGGGGCGGGGGCAGGGGCGCGCGCCGAGGGCTGGGGGCGGGCGCTCGTTGCCCCGGCGACGACCGTCCTTATAAGGGAATGGGTGGCCGCGCGCGGCGCCGGGGGCCGGCGGGTGGGGCGAGGGCGGAGCGCTGGGCCGCACTGCCTGACCCACCCCCACTCCTCCTCCCCTCTCCCCTATCCCCGCCTTCTCCCGGCTCCAACCTTAACCCCTGCCAGGCAGCGGCGGAAACGTGGGCTATCGCTGCCCTCTGCCCTTCCGCAACCTAGCCAAGATGTCTCTCCAAGGCCCTCCCCTCCACCTCAGGCCTTGGACATTGAGTCGCTCCACCGCCCTCTAGGCGCCCCACGGAACCCATCCTTGCATTCTCGGCTAAAGCAATAATGGGGGTCAGTTGCACCCGGGGAGCACACCCCTGTGCAATACATACACGCGCGCGCGCACGCACACCCTGGGGCATTTCTTTGCACAGTTGCTTGATGGATTGTGTTTGCTTCCTCTTCCAGAAAGTCGCCCCGCCGACCCCCACTCTACCCTTTTTCTGCTAAGGCTAACACCTGGTGCTGGGAATCTCCGGGGGGTAGGGATGAAGGTCTGCGGTTGGAAGTTGTGGTCTGCGGCCGCCGGGGCGCGAGGTCAGGGGGCCCCGTGCCAGAATTTCAGGCCTCTGGGGGCAGGGCGCCCACCCGCTCTGCAAGGCTGTAGGCGGCAGGAATACCCACCATGCCTGCTGGGGCCGGCCCCTTTTCCTCTTTAATTTCCTTTTTTTTCTCTGCTTCACAGAAACGGCTTGGCCAAGCCGCCGGCTGGACTGCAGATGTCTCCTCCAGGCTCCCTGGAGCCTCCCAGCTGCTGCTGCCCCGCCTCCTACCCTCCAATCTAGACCCTGGCTGGGGCCAACCAACATTTATTAAGCACCCTTTATATCTTGCCCCCAAGCCCTGGCCGCCCCCAGCCAGGGGAAGCCTAAACCTCCTCCAGCTCTGGGCCTATTAACGTTTAACCGGCTGGGAAAGCCCTTCCTGCAGTGACCTTTCACCTTGGAGTCCCGCAAGTCCAAAGCGGACCTACTCTCTCTCCGCCCTGGGCTCCAGAGCACACCAGGACACGTGGCTGGGCCTGTGAGGGCTGTGCTGAAGGACAAGTAGTGCCCTCTGGCCCAGATGGCCCCTATGCCCTCCTCTCTTAGGAAGGGACTTTGGGAAAACATCTGGGGGGTAGGCCTATCTCCAGCACCTGGACAGTTTAATGGGGGAGCAGGCAGATGTTTGAAGATCATGCAACACAACAGGATAACAGGGTTCTGGAATAGTCAGGCACTGCTCAACCAGCCCTTGGCCTCTGGGCCTCCCAGGGAGGGTCTGACTGAAGGCCAGGTGGGGAGGTTTTAGCAAGTACAGAAAGCAAGAAGGACTGTAGTTAGACATACTTTCCACCGGCTTGACAGGAGTGGAGCTCTCTGCCTTGTAAGCCCTGCTGGGAGCCTTTTTGGTTCTGAGGCTGCCTGGGAATGTGGGAGCACTGGCTGGTTGGTTGGGGTGAAGACAAGGGTCCTAGGTCCCAAGTCTGGACTTTCCAGTATCCTTGGGGAGGGTGGGTTAGTCTCAGAGAAGGAATCAGAGCAGTAGACTTGGAGAGAAGGCTCAGGGCAGGAGGTCAGAGTGGGGCTGGAGACAGGAGGGGAGAGGGAGCAGGGTTTGAGGGACAAAAATCCGGAGGCGGGGAGTGGTTTGGAGACCTAGGGAAGATCCATTGCAGGTCCCAGAACCTCACATTAATTCAACCCCTGGGCCACTGCCCCTCCCTGTAGCCCTGCCATCCCCCCAACCAGCCCCTCCGGGGCCCTCCTGTGGGTGAGTTGAGGTCCAGCGCCGCCCACCTGACCCCTGCCCGCGGCCCCGCGGTGACATTTGACCTTGCAGCAGAGCGGACCAGGGACAAAGGGGCCTGGGCCCATCTGCTGCGGGGGCACCCGTGGGAATGGCCAGACCCTGCTCCCAGAGGGCTGGGAACATTCCCCTGCCCCCTCCTCCAGTAAGAAGTCCTTCTCCAACAGGTGACCTTGTCTCCTTTCGCTGCCACCCCCACACAGGCAAGCTGGTATGTAGGGGGGTGATAGGGTCATTCTCAGACCCTTGGTGAGGGAGAGGGACAAGAGGCTGTAAGGTCGGCTCAAGTGGCCGGCCACAGAACCTTGCCCTTCCGAATTTCCCATTCCTCAAAGCCAGCCTGTATCCAAAGAGATGCATGGGGTCCAAAGGTCCTCACCCCTAGCACTCCCAGGACGTCTGTGGTCAGGAAGACGGTTGAGTCCATGCAGCTGACAAGCATTAACCTGAGGCATACCTTTCCCTCTCCTGGGAGAGGCAGCCACTAGAACACACCTGCACCGTGCAGCCTGGAGATCCCCCCACCACGCCACCATCAGGCTGGGTATGCAGAGCTTCCTAATTCCCATCTTGGGTTTTGGCTACAACCCAGGAGGGGACAGCTAGCCACTAAATCCCTCCTGGCCAGCTCAAGCCCAGCCCCCCTTGTTTGGGCAAGGAGATGTGGCCTATGCAAATGACATACAAACAATTGCCTACTATTAACCTGACACTAACACCCCGCCACCGCTCCCATCTGAGCTTCTCAGCCTGCCTAGGCACTGCCCTGTCCCTCAAGAGTCAGGCCAGAATGTGCCTCCTTGCCCACCATTAGCAGGCACCTTGAGTGACCGCACTCACAGTATCCACCTTTGCTGTGATCCCCCACCCAGATGTCCTTTACCCTAGCTCCACACTCTTTGAATGCAAGTTCCAAAAACATGTCTGATTCCTCTTCCCCCCACCTTCACCCTGGGAGCCATTGCTCTTCCAGCTAACATTCCACACCCTAACAAGGAAAACAAATAACAGGGATCTCATCTGAAGGCCGACCAGAAGGGCTTCCTGGAGGAGGTGATATCTGAGCTCAGATCTGCAAGAGTGGGAGGATTTAATTAGGCAAAGAGGGAAGTAACTGGTGTTCCTGGCACCTCCTCAGGCTCCTTTTTGGGTTATGGGCATCTTCCCCTTGGGAGCATCTACCAGGCCAAACTCAGCACCATCCTGGAAGGATGCCCTACACCTATGGACTCTGCCCAGGGCCTCTGGAAACAGATCAGAGCTAGAATTTCAGCTCTCACTGACCCCTGAATTCCATTAGCCAGATCCTATCTCCACAGCCCAGGCTGCCTCTGACCTGAACTTGGCTAACATGTCACATTCACATGCCACATGGTGCCAGGCCAAAGGCATCAAGTCTTTCTCAAATGCCCAACCACCGCCCCCATGAGACCTCAAACACTGAGGCATCAGCTCCCATCACACAGGTCACGCCTCAACGTACAAAGTCATGCCACATGATATAACATCACTCCAGGACAGTTTATGATGTGGTCAGCCACAATTGTCTGGTATATCCAGACGTGACCAGGCATACGGCCTACAGAAGTGTCTCCCCACACCGGGGAGGTGGCCTGGGCTTCTGCAGAGCCCGCATGGTGGCTTCCAGCACAGCCAGTTCCTCTGCCTGTTGGGCCTTCATGAATGCCATCTGTTGCTCCATCTTCCGCTGTCGTTCCTCCTGCTTCCGGTGGGCACCTCGGAAGGCCAGGACCAGGGCGCTGGGGGTGAGGTTGGGGGCTGAGTACTCCCAGCCCCAGAGACACCTTTGAAATTGGGTCTTCCTGGTGTCCTAGCATCACTCAACAGAGGCCAACATGTATTGGGCATCAGGAGAGTTTGTGGGATGGATTTAACTTGCTTGATCACCTTACAGGTGGGGAAGCTGAGGCTCAGAGAGAGCCACGGACCCTTCTGAGATCACTGTGGGAGTTACAGGGCAGGGAGACCCACCTATGAGCCTTGCATAGGTCACTGTTCAGCTCAGCACTCTGAGCACGTCTGGCTCGCCCCTTCTGAGCCACATGTTCCAGCTCTTCCCGCAAAGACTGCAGCTGCTCCTGCAGTCCCAGGGCCCTGGTGCAGAGGGTGGAGGGAGGGGGTCACAGCCATAGCCATTCCTGTCTACCTTCCATTCTCCCACCCACCTGCCCATGGTGTTTCCACATGAACACACCCGTACATGGGTGTACACCTAGCCCTCAGCAGCGCACAACACCCCTATGGGTTCACACATCCATCCATCAAGCCCGCCCAGACACACACCGGGTAAGTGATGCCTCCAGTTCCTGAGATAGCATCTCTGGGTCCTGCACTTTGCCCACCTGACCTCCATCAGTGCCCCTGCCTCCACCAGGGACAGCAGGAGGGCCCTGTGGAGGCAGAAGGGAAGGTAGTAACATTAATTTAGGCCAAGTATATGATCAGCCCAAGTATCATAGCCACAGCTCCCACCCTCTTAAAGAGCCCAGTTTGGTGAGATACCCCAATAAGGGTAAAATTACTCCCTAACAACGGAAATAAGGGATCTCATCTAAAGATAATCCAAGAGGGCTTCCTGGAGGAGGTGATGTCTGAGCTCAGACCTGAAGGAAACTGAGGATGTAATTAGACAATGAGGGGAGGGACTGTTGTTCCTGGCAGGGGCACAGCATGTGCAAAGGCTTGGAGGTAGGAGAGATGATTCAAAGTAGGGTTCTGGCAGCCACCGAAGGCTTTAAGCAGAGGACATTCGTGGGGCAAAAAGGACAGAAAGGGGCAAAAGGGGCCTCAGAGAATAAGCTGGAAACAAAATTTAAGAATAGATGATTCATGGCTGGCTATTGGAGAGGAGAGGGAGAACTGTGAACAGGCCTGAGGGTGGAAAGTAGGAGGTACAGATTTGAGTGGAAAACACTAACCAACCCCTTTGAGGGTTATTGGGCTCAATATCCACAAAGAAAGAAACCCCAAAGTACAGGTGTGAACTTCGAAATGCAGCTCAACATTCAACTCATTTTGTTGTGCAGCAACAGAAATCAAGGCTCAGGGAAATGGAAACTAGGGCTGATGGACCAGGGCCACTTGTCCCTGCCGGGTCCGGGCAGGACCACTCACCTGGGACCACTCCTCATCCCCGCTGCTGTCCCCACCACTGCTGCTGGCACCACCGCCCTGGAGCTGTGCCCGCTCCCACTGCAGCTGCTCCAGCAGGAGCGTGTGGGCTGGGCCCTGGGCTCGGAGGGCGGCCTCCCGCAGCTCCAGGCCCCGTTTCTCCCGCTGCACCAGCTGCAGCCGCAGCAGCAGGTCGGCCAGCGTCTCCTGAGGAACCAGGGAGAGGGCCGATGAGTTGCGTTCTAGGGACAACTGCTGAGGAAACTGAGGCCCCATGAAGGACCCACTGAGGGTCAGTCAGGCAAGAACTCAAATCCTCACCATGACCTTGTGTGGTGGGAAATATCCTCCCATAAAAACTACCCCTGTAGACATGGCAGTTCAGAGAGGGCAAATATCTTAGACAAGGTCAGGAAGCAGCGCAGTGGAAGTATCTGGAGTGTCTCCGACTACAGAACCTGGGTCTTTCATGCCAGGCCGCAAACCTCAGAGTACATGCCCTGCTCCCATCTCTTTTTCATAGAAAGGGTATTTTAGAGAGCCGATGCTGACTCTTACGAGAAACTGAACACCAAAGGACAAACTCCATTTACCCCCTCAAAACCCCAATTCCAATTCTCCTTTCTCCAGGAAGCCTGCCTGTAACCCAGCAGAACTCCCCCTTGCTACCTGCTTCCCCCAATCATACCCCTCTTGGCCTCGGCAAATGGTTTTGTCCTGCAAGACTGGTAAAAGAAAGTGACCACTGCCCAAGAGTACCCGTGTGGCTGCCAAGTCCTGCTGGATCTGCATCTTCTCCAGCCGGGGTAGGGCTGGGCCAGGCTGGGTCCCCAGAAGAGCTTGCACCATGGCTTCTGCATGGGGCACAGTAGGCATGGGTGCCAATGTGGGGCCAGGCTCTGGGGGAATCTTCACCAGAGCACGGCGATCCTGGAGACGCTGGACATAACCCTGGAGCCGGGTAGCCACCTCCTGTGGTGTGGGCTTATGCACACTGCTGACCTCAGGGCTACAGAAAACAGAAGAGAGGCCTATGTCAATCTTGGTGGGCATGACTGTGCTAACTTCATGACAGCTCTGGTGGGCTCCATTGTCTTCCATCCTACTGACCATGATGGATCCTATGTAACCTGCAGTGAGTGCCGTCATACCAACATGGTGGACACCAATAATGTACACCCTACTAGGCACCATCATCTATCAGGATAACATAGTGAACATCATAATGCCAGTGGGTACAGCTGCTGAGGCTATCGTGATGGACACCATATGCCAAATCAGTGGGTACCATTGCTTATACAACATGGTGGATACCATCATGCTAACCTGGTGGATACCACTGCTTAGCCTACAAACCCTGTTTGGCAGGACATGCCAATCACAATGGGTACCAACATCAGGTCAATGCCACTGAGCACCATCATGCTAGTTCTAATCAATGGGTACTATCATCCATCTTCATGCCAGCTCTGGTGGGTCCTATACCAACCCCAATGTCTGTCAAACACCATACCAACTTTGTTGAGTAGCAGCTAGCCAACTCCAGTCGAGCCTCATGCCAACCAATGACAGAGAGACCTACACAAACCTTGTTGGGCATGGCCATGCCAAACCACAACATAGACCACCTTTGCGATGCCCATTCTCCAGTAAGGACCCCACCTACTGGCCCACCCAGTCCCCAGGGTTCTCAGGTGCACCTTGGCCGTGGATCCCGCAGTGCTCCTCCATCCACGGCAGCCTCCTCCCGTGCCAGCAGCCTCTGGGCTCCCTTCTCAGCTGCCTCTAGGTCGCCCGTGGGGGCCTCTCCTGGTCCCGGGTCCGCCTTCCGGAGAGTGAGCAGGGCCTCGTATGCTTCCTCACAGTGCTCACTGTGGGCCACTGATTCTGAGTGCTCGGGAGCACCCAGCGCCACCTTGCGGGGCAGCTGACATCCCCACCTGCCCCTGCATACCTTGTTTCTTCTCCCACCCCCACTCCTGGGAATGTGTAAACTCCTTCAGCGCCCTTGGACTACACAAAATGCCGTAAATTAAGTTCTGTGGTGGGAGGAAGTGCTTTCCTGAAAGGGCCCTGCCTTTCTCTGTGTATAAGAGCCACCTTCTGAGCATGCCCATTCCTTTCCAGTTAGTGATGACATGGGTGGGGTGCACTGACCTGTACTGCAAGGCCAGGTGCAGAGCTGTGGCCTCAGACTCCCGCTGGCCCAGCTGCATGCTGAGGCCTTCACACTGACCCTTGTACCCCTGGAGCACAGCTGCCAGCAGGCGGTTGAAGCATTTGAGCTTCTCAATACTCCTGCCTCCAGAGGTGGGGAAGAGGGCAAGTGAGAGAGCTGGCAGGCAAGGCAGGACCCTATTGATATCTATCCTCCGCCCTCCCTCCCCACCTCACTCCAGCTCCAGGCTCTGAGGTTTGCATCCCAGCCAGGGAGGCATCAGTGTCCTTCAGAGCTCAGCATTTCAGGGTCTTACCCCCGAAGTTGCTCCATCTGGGCTTCCATGATGTGCATCTCAGGGGCATGAGGCTGGATGGGGAGAGACCCAAGCGTCTGGATGCTGGAATCACTGCAGAGGTGCTGGATCATGGGGTGAGCCAGAGAGAAGGGGTCCTGTCAGAAAGAGGTGACTTGATTCTCCCCCAGTCTCATTAAGAGCCCAGGATCATGGGTTTAGGTCTTTTCCGATCCGAGAAGCGTGTGGATTGCATCGCTAGGACTTAAGTCTCACTGTTTCAAGTCCTAAGGATACCAAGACCGTGGTTTTGAATTTTCCACACTTACCTGAGTTCCCCAGAGCTCCTCATCTACCCCAGAGTTGCTGGACCCACTGTCCGAAGCACCACCTGCTTGGCCACGGGAGGGAGGTGGGAAAGGCTCCAGAGAATCCTGCAGCTCCTGGACCTGAGGGCAGGAAAGGGTAGGCCAAGCCTGGGAGGCCAGGGGGGCCCAACCATCTGCCACCCTCCCCATATCTCTCCCTGGGATAGTGGCAAGAGCCCCAGCGAGAAGGCAGGAGCCCAGCTACTCACCCCACCAAACCTCCCACCATACAACCTTGGACAAGTCACTCAGCCACTTAAGTTTTCTCTTTCCTTAGACATACAGATGGCCAACAGGTAAATGAACACGTGTTCAACATCACTAATCACTAATCATCAGGGAAATGAAAATCAGAGCCATAATGAGATATCATATCACACCTGTAGAATGGCTATTATCAAAAAAACAAGAAATAACAAGTGTTGGTGAGAATGTGGAGAAAAGGGAACCCTGTGCACTGTTGGTGGAAATATGAATGGGGGGAGCCACCAGGGAAAACAATATGGAGGTTCTTAAAAAATAACACTACTGTATGATCTAGCTATTCCACTTCTGGGCATACATCCAAAGGGAATGAAAGCACGAACTCAGAAAGATATCTGTACCCCCGTGCTCACGGCAGCATTATTTACAATAGCCAAGCACTGAAGCAACCTAAGTGTAAAAAAAAAAAGAAGGGAATCTTGCCATTTGTGACAACTTAGATGGACTTTGAGGGCATTATCCTAAGTGAAATAAGTTGAGCAGAAAAAGGCAAATACAGTCTGATGTCACTTATATGTGGAATCTAAAACAAAACAAAAATATTGAATCCACAGAAACAAAAAACTGATGGGGGGTGCCACGGGGAAGGCAGTACAGCACGGAGAAGACAAGTAATGATTCTATGGCATCTCACTACACAGATGGACAGTGACTGTAATGAGGTTTGTGGGGGGGACTCGATAATGGGGAGAATTCAGTAACCACAATATTGCTCATGTGATTGTATATTAATGATACAAAAAAAATTTAACAACTAAAAAAAAAAAACTGATTGGTGGTTGTGAGGGGAGGAGTTCGAAATTAAAAAAAAAAAAAAAAGACTTCTCTTTCCCAGCCAGGAAATGGGCTCCACCCCTTGTGCTGGGCTCCAGCAGCTCCCAGTCTCACCCGCCTGGTCCTGCCTGCATGGGGGCTTGCTCCCGCCACCTCCTTCAACTGTGATTTTAGACTCCATCCGCATGCTGAGGATGCCCAGGCGTGTCCCTCCCAACCTGATATCTCCCCAGGGTCTGGACACAGACATAGACCTGTCCCTTTGGTGGCCCTTCAGGGGTGGCTGCCAGGCATGTTGAGCTCATCAGGGTACAGACAGCCTTGTTTTCCTCCCACCAAACCTGCCCTACCCACAGCCTCCCCATCTCTGGCTTCCAGTCCCACGGGCCCCCAAATTCAGGCCCTCTCTAGTTTCATTTGTACATCTGCCAACTCCCCCATCAATATCACCACAATCTGCCCCTTCCCTCCACCTGTACACCTCACACCAGGAGGTGTCTGGACCTCCAGCACTCCGCCCACACCCCACATGGGCTGTTCCACCCAGGGCTGCCAGAGGGCGCCTGTGAACACTTCAGCTGGTCCCGCCCCTTTCTGCTCAGAACCCTGCAATGCTTCCACTTTGCTCAGAGCTCAAGTCCTCCTGCAGCCCACAAGACCCTGTGGGATTCTGCCCCTGTCATCTCCCTGCCCTCCTCTCCTCTCACTCACCCCAACATCAGCCTCCTCACTGTTCCTTGAACATGCCATTACACTTCCACCTCAGGGCTTTTGCATATGCTCTTCCCTGTCTGGCTGTTGTGCTGTTCCCTCGGATTCTTGCAAGGCTCCTTCCTCACCTCCTTGTGGTTTTTATTCAAGTATTACCTCCTCAGTGGGCCTCCCTAACCACTTTAACTAAGATCTCCCAAGCAACTAAGACTGATTGCTCAGCAGTCAATCAACACTCCATCAATTTTCTCAAATGAACAAATGACTGAAGGTTGTCTACGTTGGGCCTGCCTCCTCCCTCAGACAAGGAGCCCTCAGAGGCAGGACTGCATTGCTCACTCACCTCTCTCTGCAGCATCTCCTTCTCCGCCTGAACGGCCTGCAGGGAGGCCTGCATGTGGGTCAGCTCCTCCTGGCGGCAGCCCAGGGCTAAACGCAGCCATGCATTCCTCTCTGTGAGGCGGGCCACCTCCCCCTGGCAGCTCCCTGCTTCCTGCTGCAAGCAGGCACTTGGTCCCACTTCACTTCTGTCCTCTGCCTCCATCAACCCAGGACAGCTTGGGCGCTGGCAGCGCCAGGCAGCAGCCGCTGCCTCCAGAGAGCTCAGAGCATGCTCAACAGTCTGAAACACATCAGGAGCCCCAGGTCCAGAGGGGACAGTCTCCCTGTCCTGCGGGGCTGCCTCCGGAGCCTGGTGGGCTTCATCTGCAGGCTCATGGGATCCCTTGTGGACAGAGGCCAGTCCCCTGATAGAATCCCCATCAGCCTTTTTGTCGGTCCTGTGAAGAGTTGAGAGATGGAAGGCTCTGGAAATGGAGTCGTCTGGGGTGGCTTGCACACAGGGTCTGTGTGTCAAGGCTGGGGCTGCATTATGCAGAGCCTTGAAGGTAGGGCTGAGGAGGGCAGTGGGCAGCCATGGTATGTGTGTGAGAAGAGGAGGGACATAGACAGATGTATGGGCAGGAATGATGCCCCAGGGTTGAAGAGGGGAGCACAGACCAGTGGGCCTTACCTGCTCCCCAGGCCCTGCACACTGGCCTCCACCTTGGGCCCCAGCAGCTCAGGCTTACAGCTCTCCTGAGATGGCTGAGAGCCCAGCTCAGAATTTACGCTGGCTGCCTCAGCTTCTTCTGCCACAGGGTCCAGCTCACCCTGCAAATGACCCCAAGAGCCAAACTCTGAGCCAGACAGGGCTCCGCATGGCCCCAAGACCTGCGTGTGGCAAGGAGAGGGGACACTTACGGGCGGAGCATGTCTCCCTCGCCGGCTTCGGGGACGTGTGGCCCGCACACTCATTGCTGTCCAGAAATTCTCAGTGTCCTCTGAATCCACCTCCTTCCTTATTCTCTAAAACCACAGCCTCATGTGAACTCTTGCCCTTGATGCTCTGGGCAAATGACAGCCTCAATTTCCTCTTCCATGAAATAGGCAATGATTTCCCCCTCCAGAAGGGATCCTGAAGTATCAGTGTTGATTGGGCACATAGGAATGCCTCCCTGGATAGGGAGCTCACTGCCCAAGTTACCCTGACCTCCCCATTCTCCTATGCCTCCTTCTTTCTTTATCTTTCACTACCTCTGTCCTTGCCTCCCTCCCCAGTCTGGATCTGGAATGAAGATTTCAAGGGTTCCTCTTCTCCTTAGGGCCCTCCTGAAGCAGAGGCCCCAATCTTGAGTCCCCTCAGCCTGCTTCTACTTCTCTGTCCCTGTGGGAGCATCTTGGTCAGAGGCCTGAGTCCCTGGACACTCTTGGGGTCACTTTGGCCACTGCCAGCTCAGGCCTGGGCTGGACAAGGCTGGCCTGGGAGGCGCCAGGAAACAGGAAGCCCTCTCCCCTGGCCATGTGACTTGTTATTGTGTAGTTTCCTCCTCAAGGACATAAGCTTCCTCCAGCCCCAGCAGGGGACTCATGTCCAGGTCCCTCCTCAGATGTCAGTCACCTCCTCACCTTAGCCTCTGAGCTTCAGTTTCCTTATCTGTAAAATGGGGGTAGTTATAAAACTTTTCTACAGTATTATGGGGTTTTTACCAAGCACTTTGCACATTGCCGGGCACCATTGGGAAATGGAGGCATGACTCACCCTCCCTGTTCCCTACCACCCCTCTGGTTTTACCATTCTCTGTTTCCTCTGCCAGCTGCTCTTTCTCCTGCATAAATGCTGGATTCCTCAGAGCCCAGATGGTCCCTACATCACGCCCATTTTTCCTGCATCTGTCTGTAAAGGGCCTTTTCTCCATCTATAGTCACAGCCCAAGCCTCTCCCTTCCTACCTAGATGCCAGCTCAGCTTCCTCCTGGGCTCCCCAGCCACCTCTCCACTTCCTTCCTGACACCCAGGCCCTGAGACAGAGATCTCATTGTCCACCTCCCCTGAACAGGATCACACACCCTCCATGGCTTCCCATTGCCCTTGGGCAACATTTCAAGCTCTTCTACCTGGCATTCAAGGCCCTTAAAACTTGTGCCTGCTGCATGCACTCCATGCTCCGGCCATGGTGACCCTCTCAGTGAACAGTTGAAGGTTCTCAGTGCTTACACCCTGGAGCCTTTGGCCATGCTGTAACCTCTTCCTGAAACACCTTTTCCTTCCTTCTGCACTTGGTTTAAACTGTGCAGAGCCTGGAGTAGCCTGAGTCTTCCTGGTCCCACTGACAGACCCTAGGAGGTTGAATCTTCCTGCTTCTGTGTTTCCAAAGGTGGTAGGGAGAAAAATTGCAATTTTCTGACTTGGTGGTATCCAGGTGCATTAAAATCCTCTCTTCAACCTCTGCTCCAGTATTATAAGCTGTTAAATGCTCCAGCACTGCAAGGCTCTTCAAAGCCTCCAGATCTTTGCCCAGGAGGTTCCTTCTTCCTGTTTTTTTTTTTTAATCTCTTGTTTTTCTGGCAAATTCTCCATCCTTCAAGGTTCAATTTACACAGCCCCTCCTAGCTGTCAACGAATTAACCAGTCAGGTTGAGGTGGACAGGCTTAACTGATCCTTTTACAAATGAAACCGAGGCTCAAAGTGGATTTTAAATGGTCATGGGGGTAAGAAAAGTGTGAATGAGGAAGGAAGGGTGACTTGAAATAGCTCTGGCTTAATATTTCTGGTTTTTGCCAATATATGTAAAATAAGGAGAATCAAATATTGGGAGGGGTTTGGAGCTTGGGACACGCCCACCTACGTCCGTAAAAACCCGCCCCTCGGTGAGGGCCAGCTCCTCCAATCACCAATCAGGCTCGCCTCCTGTTCTAAATCCCGCCCAGCTAATTCCCACTCAGTTTAGGCCTTCTGAAACCAGGCCTTCTTGGTCCCTCTGACCCTACGCCATTGAAGACGCCACTCCCCACGCCTCGTCCCCGGTAGAAGCGCAGACCTGCACCGTCAGATTAGGCCACAAACATAAAAGCTCCGCCTAATCTTGCTTTAGCCAATCATGTTCAAGATCCCGCCCCACTCACTCCCGGTGATCTCATTGCAAATCCCACTCCCTAAGCACATTCCCAACCTATCAGCTTTCATGGCTCTTCAGCATCCTCCCCTTCTACTCTCCGCGGGACTACACTTCTCAGGAAGTGTCGGGACCGGGTGCTGCACCACTTCCGGCTGCCAAAGATGGCGGCTTTCTAGCGAGTCCGGGGCTGAGTTGGAGCCGGCTTAGGCTATGGTGAGCAGAAGCTGGGTGATGAAAACGTGCGAGGGTCCATCTCTGGAGGCCCAGCTCCCCTACATCCAGAGGTCCAGTTCCTTGTCTTCCCTGAGGCTTCCGCCTTCAGCTCTAAGTCCTGGTCTAGACAACATCCCTCTTGCTGAAGCTAGCTTTTCTTAGAGGTTGTGGGGACTGCAGTGCGCTCAGAGGACGTGCCAGGCAGCCTGCACGCATTGCCCAGATAGGCCGACTCTTCCACTGTCATCTTGTCTTTTCTCAAAGGGACCTGTAACAGCCGATCCACACCCTTTCCTTGTGCAGACACCCTCCAGGCAGCCCAGCGCCCACGGGAAGGGGTGAGGGAGTCCCAGCGGCTATTATTCTGTTAACCATAAAAATAAAGCTCAGTTATTTTACCTCCACAGAGGTAGAGAATAGCAGAGAACTTCAACTCCGGGAATACAGGCTTTGGCAAACCATTGGCAAGTCCAGAGAAGGAAAGGGAGGCTTTCTCTTTTATAGAGAAAAGTGGGGGGAATTGAAAGGGGCTGCTATAAGCAAAAAGCCCATTGGAGGAAACCGGGAATAGCTGAGTTGTGACAGCCTTTTATTGGCTGGGCTGTTGCCGGGCCAGGAGAAAATCTTCCTCCTGCTATGGTAGGAAAGTAAAGGCTTTGTGGGTCTGCAATTGATCAGGAGTGGTTGCGCATGAGAGCTCCCCCTGCTGGACTCCCAATTCTATGTAAAATGAAGTTTTCTTTATTTTGATTCACAGGTATAGCTGGATCCGGGTGTCCCGAAGTCCATCTGCTGTTTTCAGGTGAGCATCACTTCAGGCAGGCTCTATTTCCCCCCTTGGCAGCGCTCGACTTCTATCCTCCCGGCACTGCATCTCTAACGAGTCCTTCTTCCCTAATAGCACTGTGGGAAGCCCCAGAGCTGCTTCTGGCTAACCTGTATTGGCTCATGTCCTCATCTCTGAGCCATTCACAGTGGCCAGATGTGCTCACTGGCCAAGGGGGAAGGCGGGGTTAGCTCTACCGGAAAAAAAAAAAATGTAGACTATTACCTTAAGTCAGAGTGAATGCCAGGCTGATGCTAAAGGCCCCCATTCTATAGATGGGTAAACTGAGGCCCTGAAAGGGGTGACTCTTATAGTCAGTAAGGGCTCATGCCCTGTCCTCTTGTCCTGTAACCAAATGTTTTTAAAACCTCCAAGAAGAGGATCCTGGCTTCCCCTATCCCTGCTCCATCCAGCCACTCAGGAGCCATGGAGGTGGTGGAACCCAGCAGCCCCACCGAGGAGGAGGAAGAGGAGCAGTCAGCCGAGCCCAGGCCCCGCACACGCTCTAACCCTGAGGGGGCCGAGGACCGGGCGCTGGGGGCCCAGGCCAGTGTGGGCAGCCGCAGCGAGGGTGAGGGTGAAGCTTCCAGTGCTGATGACACTATGCCCAACCCTCCAGGAGCTGGCCCCAAACCCTGGCAGGTACCCCCGCCAGCTCCTGAGGTCCTAGTGCGGACGCCAAGGGTCAACTGTCCAGAAAAGGTGGTAAGTGAGGGGCTTGGCCTGTGGCTTTGAGGTATAAGGGAACCTTCAGTTAAACATCCTTGCCTTTTGGGATTCACTCTGCAAACAGTCCCTTTGGATGAGTTTCCTAGGACTGCCACACAATCAGCACAAACCAGGTGGCTTGGAATAACAAAAACTTATTCCCTCCCCATTGTGGACGCTACAGTCTGAACTCAGGGAGTCAGCAGACGTACCCTTCCTCTGGAGGCCTCGGGAGGAGACGCCTTCGCCTCTTCTATGACTGGCCTCCTGGCTTGCGCCAAACCACTCCGGTCTCTGCCTCAGTTCCCACATGGCCTTCTCCTCTGTGTCTGAGTTTTCTCTTCTTTCTCCTGTAAGGATGCGTCATGGAGTCAGAATGATCTTATCTCAAGATCTTTGTCTTAATTGTATCAGCAAAGACTAATTCCAGTTAAAGTAATATCCTGAGGTTCTAGGGGACATATATTTTGGGAGACCTTATTCAACCCACGATGCATTTGTTTTCTTGCTTCTGTGTGAAATGTTCCCCAGTTCGTTTACTCACTCATAAACCTGGGCTGCTAGTCCAGTGCTCTGTTCCTGGAGTTGCTGCCTTCCAAAGTGGATGGCTTGGCTGGGAATTGGAGGTCGTCATCCTGCCTCTTTAGGCAGAGTTGCTCGAATTGGGCCAACTCAGAGTGGTGTGTAGGGGGTGGTGTTACCATCCAGTTACCAGGTGCTGCCTGTCACTCAGCCCTTACCACCCTCCCATGTCCTTGCAGATCATCTGCCTAGACCTGTCGGAGGAAATGTCACTGCCAAAGCTGGAGTCATTCAATGGGTGAGAGGGGACATTTCAGGGCTTGAATTTGCAGCCACAGCTGGGGGGGCGGGGGCAACTGAAAAATGCAGGACTCTGTCTGAGACTCACACAGCTTGGCTTGGCCTGGGACCTGGCAGTATCACAGAGCAGAAACAACAATTGATAGTGATACAGCTGTGGTCCTTGGGACCCTGTCCCAAGCATGTGACAGCTGTCACATGCCACCTATGTCACAGCAATGCCTCAGAAGCTCCCAGGAGCAAAGTGCCTTGACCAACGCCTCTCTGAAAATGGGCAGAGCCAGGATTCAGACCTAGGCTTAAGTGGTCCCAAATCTCTTCCCCTGCATGGCTGAGTCTCTGTGGGGCCAGGCAGCAGGGCCTAGACTTGGCCCGAGTTGCTTTGGGAGATGCTGAGGGCAAGCCCCTCTTCCCCTTGCTGGTACCCCCTCTGACCACTGTGACTGAGTGGGCCCAGGAGAGCCTTGGGAGAATCAGCTGTAAGACTCACATTGGCCAGAGGGACCAATGTGGAGAGGGCAAGAGCTGGAGAGGGTCAGCTGGGCGCCGGTTATGGCTGGGCTCTGCTGCCCCAGTGCTGGATGGCCTGGGCCTCAGTGCCTGGCTGTGGAGCTTGTGGACGGTTCCCCAGGATGGGAAGGTGAGGAGACAACCCCTGGGCTGGAAGGCCTTGCCTTGACCACTGTGCTCACTCTGTATCCCTCTGTAGCTCCAAAACCAACGCTCTGAATGTCTCCCAGAAGATGATCGAGATGTTTGTGCGGACAAAACACAAGATTGACAAAAGCCATGAGTTTGCACTAGTTGTGGTGAATGATGACATCGCCTGGGTGAGGCTGGGGTAGGGCTGGGGTGCCCTGGGGTCCCCTAGGGTCCGGGGAGTACCTCACTGGGGCCTGTGCTTCCCTGCAGCTGTCTGGCCTGACCTCTGACCCCCGTGAGCTCTGCAGCTGCCTCTACGACCTGGAGACAGCCTCCTGCTCTACCTTTAGTATCCTTCCAGGCAGGGGTGGCCTGCGGAGAGGGCTGGCCCATCCTGCTGTCCCCAGAACCAGAGAATCTTGAATTGTGGAGGGGGGTGGCTCAGACTGGCTCAGGTCCACATCCCAGCTTTGCCCCAACAAGCTTGGGCCAGTCTCTCTCTGAGCTTCAGTTTCTTCATCTGTAAAATGAGAGGCACAAAAATCTCCTACTCAGTAGGGCCTCTGTGAAGAAAATGTAATACAGAAGCAAAAACAGCTGATTTGTACTCTGCACGTCAAAACTGCATCCACTTTGGGAGGACTCCATGCGGGGCTAAACATATACTTGGTGCTCAATAAATGGCAGCATGTGACTGAAAAGTCACAATCACTGCTACAACTCCTTCAACCTGGGTGCGGCACATTTTATGTTAGTTTGACCATGAAAGGCTCATGTGAGGCCCAAAACTTAAATAGAATATGATCCTTGTGAGTTAGAATACAATGCTAAGTGTTGGGAGATGGGGACAGGGACACCCATGGCTCTTTCATTGTGGGGAGAGTGGCCCCAGCCCTGAGGGAGATTTGAATTAGCAAGGGTCTTCAGGGCATCTATTGCCAGCCCCCTATTTTGTGGTCAGTGCTAAGGGAAAACAGCCTCAGAGAGGACAAGCGACTGGGCCGGGTTCACACAGCGTGTCTCCAGCGCTGGATGGTACCTGCTCTCTCCTGGCATCAGATTGGGGGAAGCCACATGCCCCTGCCCTTCCACGTGCGCTACCACTGGCTTTCTCCTCAGCATCCTTGCCAGATCTGGAAGGTCTCTTCAGCCTCATGTAAGTCCCCCTTCCCCGTGACTCACCTTCCATGTTAGTCCTGTCATGACCCTGTGGCCCTCTACTATATTTTTTAACCCAGAGGATGGCAAACTTGCTGTAAAGAGCCAGGTAGTAAATGTTTCTGGCTTTGCAGGCCACATGGTCTCTATTGCAATGACTGGACTATGCCATGGTAATCCAAAAGCAGCCACAGGCCATACATACACAAGTAAGTGAGCTTTGTGCTCATAAAATTTAACTGATCACACTGAAATTTGAATTTCATATCATTTCCATGTGTAATGAAATATTCTTTTGATTTTTTCCGCACCAACCATTTAAAAAGGTAAAAACCATCCTTAGCTCATGGGCCCTAGTCTTCCAAACCCCGTTTTCACCAGCCCCTCTAATAATGGCCATGGAGCTTATTTTTGCCTTTTCTGTCATGATTAACCTAGTACAATCATCTCAGGAAAGTCTGCAAGTAAATCCATGGGGTAAATTCCTAATGGAGGACCGTGGAGGACCAGGACCTAATGCTGGATCCAGTGGGTGTTTGTTTTTGTTCTTTTTTAATTTTATTAGACTTTCCAAAGCACATTCTCAGAAAATTAACCTTGTTATCTCCCCGAGCACTGAAGTTGAATACCTGCTGAAAGTTCTGCTTGTCTGATAGTGGGAAGCGACTACATGTTGCTTTGCTGTGCTTTTCATTGAGCCTTTTTTCATTCCTTTTTAAGCCATTCAGTATTCCTTCAGTGATTTATTTGTCCCCTTTACCGTTTCCTGGGGGATACTGACTTTTCTTTTCGATCAGATTTGCTTTTTACATATTAAGGACATTAGCCCTCTGTCTGCCTAGTGCCCTTTGCCCAACATGAGATCCAGCTGCAGCTGTGGCTAAGCAGGGACGTGAATGTTGACTTAGCATGTAAGATCAGGTCCCTGTCTAAGAGTCTCCTGGCCTTGTGGGGCAAGTCCAACTCAGGGCAGTGATGGATGCTCAGGGTGCTGAGAGGGGCCAGAGAAAGCTCCAGTTTTCAGCAAAGCTTCCCTGATGGTGCAGGAGAGGTCAGGCAGGAGGGTAAGGCTGCGGTGGTACTCCAGGCAGAGGGAATAGCATGTGGGAGGGTTTAGAGGCAGCAGTGAACTTGGGAGGGTTTACGGGGGGCCTTGCATGCCCAGTGAAGAGGAGCTGGGCTCTCCAAGGTTATCAGAGGGATCCCCAGACCAAGCTCTGACCTGTCTCCCTATGCCTGCTATGCAGCCAGCAGAAGACAGAGCTGCCAGTCATGGAGAATGTACAGACAATTCCGCCCCCATACGTGGTCCGCACCATCCTCATCTATAGCCGTCCACCCTGCCAGCCCCAGTTTTCCCTGACGGAGCCCATGAAGGTGAGTGAGGCCTGGGAGAGGGCAGGATGTCTGCTATCAGCAGGATGGGTGGTTAGACATCTGGAGGGACTTCCTGACCACTGGAGCTGTGGCACCTTCGGGCAGGTTCCCAGAGTCCAAGGCAGAAGGTGGGGAATGGGGGGCATGGGAGCATGGAGTGCCCTTGCCCTTGCCCAAAGGCTGGTGTTCCTCCCCTGCAGAAAATGTTCCAGTGCCCGTATTTCTTCTTCGATATTGTTTACCTCCACAATGGCACTGATGAGAAGGAGGAGGAGATGAGCTGGAAGGTGAGACACTGCTGTGTGGGTGGGTGGCGGGTGGGCATAGATGGGGTTTCTCAGAGCCCACCTGCCATATGCCTGGAGGAGCTGTCTCCACTGCAGCCCTGGATCGCTGGTCCTACTGGATCGTTGTTATTTAGTCATTCAGCAACCGCTTCCACACCTGCTGTGAGCTAGTGGGGGCTGTTGGCATGCTGGCTCCAGGAGCATGTAGAGTCCTGCCCATATCGTCTCCTCTCTCTTCCTGCCTTTGTTCTTGCTGTGTCCTCTGCCTGGAGCCCCCTTCCCTCCCTGCCTTCACATCCCAGCCCTGAACTAGCTGTAGGATCCTGAGTAGGCCATTTATCTCTCTGAGCCTTAGTTTATCCAACTCTAAATAGGGAGAGTTGAGACCAATTCCTACCTATACCTCAATACCCAAACGCAAAAGTCCCTACTATGGGAAGCTTTCCCTGCGTGCCAGGGAAGATCAGCTTGGGGACTATCACTAGTGTGTATCTGACTGTGTCTCTCCAGACTAGGGGCTCCAGGACTAAGACCTCTTGAGGTTGTAACACTGGGAGGTAGGCTTGGGGTAGGGAATATTTGCCCAGTGTAGATATATTTTTTATCAGGCAAACTCCTCTTCATCCTTTAGAACTCACCTAATGCCCCCTCCTTTGGAAAGCCTTTCAGGGGCAGGGAGGGCCTGTCCTGCGAGCCCCTGCCTGAACAGCCCCTCCCTGGCCCCACAGGAAATGTTTGCCTTCATGGGCAGCCTGGATACCAAGGGTACCAGTTACAAGTACGAGGTGGCGCTGGCTGGGCCAGCCCTCGAGCTGCACAACTGTATGGCCAAACTACTGGCTCACCCATTGCAGCGGCCCTGCCAGAGTCATGCATCCTATAGCCTGCTGGAGGAGGAGGATGAAGCCACTGAGGTTGAGGCCACTGTTTGAACCACGCTTGTTTTCCTTATTACATCCTTGTAACTTTGTACAATGAAACCCTTGGCCTAGAATGCTGGTTCTTAAACTGGACTCTGTGGGACCCTGTGGGATTCCAGGAGGTACTCAGAGGACCTAGGGGACCCTGGAAGGAAATTCAGGCTTCCAGGAAACATGGCAGGGACTCTTTGGCACCCGTTTCCCAGTTTCCCAGGCTACATCCCACTCCCAGTTTGTCGATTGTAATTTTTGTTCTCTGTGTGATTTTTGTCATCAAAATAAAAATCTTGAGGATCCCTAACCAAGGTCTACAACAATCACCTTGTGTTAATTGGGCTCTTCTTGCAAGTGACAGAAAACCCGTCCACCAAACATAAAGGGAAAGTCTTGCTTCTTGTGGATGAGAAACCAAGGTGCAGCTTCAGGCTTGGGTGTATCCAGCCATTCCGACATTACTGTTGGAGTGGGCTAAAATACCCTGGGTGATGTTAAGTGTGCCCTGCTTGTCTCCCAATCCGTGGAAAGGGATGAGATGGCTGGGACCACTCTGCAAACCCCAACCCAGGTGAAGTGAGGGTTCCCAGCACTCGCATACAGCCTTGCCTGGGCCAGGTGACCTTGCATTGGGCCAGTCATGGGCCACAGTTGTGGGATGCCCTGACTGGCTGTCAAGCCTTTCTGGGATGGGAGGATTTACAGCTCCTTCAGGAAACTGGGTGCACTCTAGAGGAAGGGAGAGGCCCACCGTTCAGCTATCTGTATAATGAGCAGTTGTGAGAAAAAAAAATTTACCTACTAGGTTCTCTCAGTGCCATATAAAATGAAAATAGCTTTTTTGAACAACAGCTGTTCCTCCTTATGAGCATTAATTAGGCACCCAAGTGCCAGACCCCAGTGATGAAAGCTTTGTTCAACTTAACAGCATCCTGGAATAGATTATTGTCCCATTTTGCAGATGGTGAAACTAAGGCCCTGAGGCCCCCGCGCTACAGTTACAGACTCCGGGCTCTGGGGACATGAAAATGGGCCACTCAGAGCTTCTGGAGGCGGTAGCTGTTAATCAAAGGCTTACATAGTACAGGTGCTGTGCGAGCTTAGGTGCCTTAACAAAGCTGTCCAGGAGACTGTATGCACTGGGGATATCCGTGGGTCCCTAACTCCACCCACTCGGCAAGGTGCCTTCGCGCTCCGTTTAGAAACGAGATAAGCCACCCGTCCCTGCCTTTATCGGCAGCCCCAGGTCCCGCTGGAGCGCAACTTGGTGTCGTGGCTAGGGAGGGCCCAAAATCTCCCCAACCGGGCTGTGGACGCGCGTGCGGCGCGGGCCAGCTTGCTTGAAATTGTTGCGCGGTGGTAGGGAGCGGGGACCGGAGCCGAAGGGCGGGGCGGCGCTTGCGCACGAGGGCGCCTCAGGAAATTGAAAATCGGCGGGCCGGGCTGCAGGGCTCGGGGTCGTGCCGTGGCATGGGCGCTGGAGCTGGCCTGGCGCTGCGGCTACGGACAGCGCTGCGGGAGGAGGAGCCGCGGTGAGGGCGGGGGCCTGGGGGCCGGCTGGGTGCGGGGCGAGGGTCTTGGTCCACTCTGACCACCTGCCCGTAGGGCGGTGGAGGAGCTGCTGCGCCGCGGCGCTGACCCCAACCTGGTGCTTACGGATGGCGCGGCGGCCATACATCTGGCGGCCGGGGCCCGATACCCGCGAGGTCTGCGCTGCCTGGAAGCTCTTCTGCGCGGAGGAGGGGACCCCAACGCTCGGTGAGGCGGGGCCTGGGCCAGAGGTTGGGTCTTTGAAACAGGGGAGTGGTCTCCAGAGTGAGGGCGGGAACTCGATGCTCAACGTTGGGGCTTGGCGATTTTGAACTCTGAGAGTCAAAGGGCAGGCAGAGTAGAGTCCCAGACTGAGGGTGGGGTATGAGGCTTCTCTGGGGCCGAAGTGGGATCGAAGCTACGGATCTAGAGGCAGAGGCTCTAGGGTCAGAGAGCAGAGGTTTGGGTCCCAGCCCAAGGGCTAGGATCTAGGTTCCGAGGGTGGTCTCAGGGCAGCAGGTGGAGATGGGAAGCCGAGGGCCAAGTCTCGGAGACCCGGGGGCGAAGATCGAGTTCCCTTCTCCGCTGACCCTTCCCCGGTTCCTGCCCCAGATCGGCCGAGGCATTGACGCCATTGCATGTGGCCGCCGCCTGGGGCTGTCGCCGCGGCCTGGAGCTGCTGCTGAGCCAGGGAGCTGACCCCGAGCTGCGCGATCAGGTGCGGCGCGCAGCGCCGATAGCCGCGGGGCGGACGGACCCAGAGAGATTGGGAGCGAGAAGGGAGGGAAGAGGGTGTCGGGCGCCCCCTGCTGACAGCACCGCTGCAGGACGGACTCCGGCCGCTGGACTTGGCTGAGCAGCAGCTGCACCAGGACTGCGCGTGCGTCCTGCGGGATTTCGACAGGAGGATCAGGACTCGGACAAAGACGCAGGAGCCTGTGCCTGAGCCTGAGCCCGAGGCTGGCAGTGAGTGGGGCCTGCGCTGCCTGTGGGGCTTAGCCTCTGTTCTAGCTTTGTGTGTCTCTGATGACCACTCTCTCCAGATAATTCTGTCTCGCATCTAGCGCCTCTGCCCAAATCTGGCTGCTTCGGATTCTCTCCATCTTGCCCGCGCCTCCAGCGGTTTCTTTCTGTCTGATCCGACTCCCATCTCTACTTCTGGCTCCCCCCTCCCCTACTCTCTGACCACCACTCTCATCTCCTGCTTCAGGCCCAGGCCCCTGGGGACCTCCTGATGTGATGCCGGACTCTACAGGCCTGGGCGGAGGTGACAGCAAGGATACGGGCTTGGAGGCTGGTCCTGGAACTCCCAGTCTCTGTGCCCACCCTGAGGTCACCATGAAGGATGAGAGTTCAGATTCCCCTCTGGGGCCCTGGGACTGCAGCTCAGATGACTCCTTTGTCATTGCTGTAGAGGCCTCTGGAGCCGAGGACCACATCTCTCCCTGGGGTGTGTCATTGCCTCAGACCAGGCAGGGCCTCCTGTCCATTGTCCAGCCCTCCCAGAGAGTGCCAAGGTCTCCAGGTACCCCACAGCGGGTGCACCAAGCCATCATGGCAGGCAGGGAGGCAGAACTGAATGCCTGTCTAGAGGCCCTGACTCTGACCTCCTCAGCTGCCTCCCTCTCCCCCACATCCCTCCCAGATGGGAGCCCCATTCGCAGTCCCCCTCAGGAACCACTGCCTGGATCCCCTGACCTCCACCTCCTAACAGATGACCAGTTGTCCCTTGACAGTGGTGATGTGGCCATCCTCTGGCTTTCAGAGGATGAAAGCTCCACAGGTGGCAGGGACCTTGCACCCTCTTGCCAGTGCCTGCCGGTACCTGCCTTGTCTGACCTGGAGTTACTACAAGAACTCCGAGCTCTTGGCGAAAGCCCTGGCCCCATCACACCCTTCACCCGGCCATGCTATCTCCGACAGCTGGAAGAAGCCCAGGCTGTTCCTGGTTAGTTCCTTCTGGGCACCCAGAGAGGACCTCCAGGAATCCCTGGAGACCCCCGACTCTTAGTCCTAGTCTGGGAACCACCTCTTCCTGTGTCTACTTTGACTCAATTTCCCTTCCCAGGTCCAAACTTTTCAGGCTACAGCCCAGAGCTGGCTGAGGCCTTGCGGACAGGCTGTATCCCCAATGCCCAGGCAGATGAGGATGCACTTGCCCAGCAGTTTGAGCGGCTGGATCCCAACAGAAGGTGGCGGGAGGGAGTTGTGAAGTCCAGTTTCACGTATCTGCTGCTGGACCCCAGGTACACAGAGCAGGAATGACCCAGAAGTGGGAGCTGGAAAGTTCTGAGATGGATTCTTATTTGCTGTGTGTCCTTTGGAAGGGGACTGGCCCTCTCTGGTCATCAACTTCTCTATCTGTAAAAGGTTGGCTGGATTCAGTTCAAGCTGCTGAGTGTCCTTGGGGAGCAGCCACCACTTTCTGCCCTATAGAAGGGGTCACTGGACATGGGTTCAAGATACTCTGTGACCTTACAGACTGTCTTGGGGGCGACTCTTGTCTCTTCCTCTTCCTCTCTGAGCCACATCCTTCATCCAGAGAGACTCAGGACCTGCCAGCTCGAGCCTTCTCACTGACCCCAGTTGAATGCCTTCAGACTTTTGTTCATGCTATCTTCTATGTGGGCAAGGGGACACGAGCCCGACCAGATGTCCACCTCTGGGAAGCCCTCAGCCACCACAGGCAGCTGGGAAAACAGGTGTGAGGATAAGGATCAGGGTCATGGCAGGGACAGCTGGGCCATGGGGAGGTAGAGGAAGGAGGGAATTGGGGTACTGATTCTTGATCCCACTCTCGCTCCAAGGCCTGCCCCAAGGTACACCAGATTTTGGACATTTGGGCCAGTGGTCGTGGTGTTGTCTCCCTGCATTGCTTCCAGCATGTGGTTGCTGTGGAGGCTTACACTCGAGAGGCGTGTCTTGTGGATGCTCTAGGTAGGTGCGTGCATTGTCGGGTGTTGGTGGGGGCCACATGAGGGGCACTTAATCTACCAATTCCCTCAGTCTTTCTCTTTCAGGGTTCTTCATTCATGCAATTAGCAATTATTGAGTACCACTCTGTACTGCATGAACACATATTTTACTCCATTGGTTTATCCCTGCTCAAGGGCAATACACAGTGGGTTCACTGTCACATACTTCCGCCAGGGGTTCCCTGAGGCTGCTCTAGTTACCTCACCCTCAATCTCTCCAGGGATCCAGACACTGACCAACCAGAAACAAGGGCACTGCTATGGAGTGGTGGCAAGCTGGCCACCAGCCCGGCGCCGCCGCTTGGGGGTGCATCTGCTGCACCGTGCTCTCCTTGTCTTTTTGGCTGAGGGCGAGCGAGAGCTGCGGCCCCAGGACATCCAAGCCCGCAGCTGAGTCCTGGGGAGTTGGCCATCCAGCCTAAGGTGTTTGAGTGTTGCGGCTGCCCCATGATGAAAGCAGCCACCGACCTCCAGCTCTACTCAAGTTGCACAGCAGGGCTGATGTCCCCCTCAGGCTGAGGGGAGGTTTACAGATGGAACTGCTGGAGAGGTAGTGAGCTCCCATCATGGGAGAACAGGTAGGGAGCAGAGGTTCTTTGAAACATTTGGTGGCTCTGAATATGCTGGTGCTTTGGCAGTTTGGTCCTGTCTGTGTGGACAGAGTCCACTTTGATCTCCCTGGTGTGGGGGACCCACAGTGTGGGCTGGGCTGGGAGAATCTGCCCAGCTCAAGAGCTGGATTTTGCTACTTGCCCACTGTGGGACCTCAGACCAATAATTTGTCTCTCTGAGCCTGTTTCCTCCACTGTACAGTGAGAGGAGACATTGAAAGGTCCTACCTCAAGGGATCATTGTGGAGATCGGATTCAATGAAGTCATGTGGCTGAAGTATGTGGCTCAGACCTGTACCAAGCCACAGCTGCCCTTCAGCCCAGGTGGAAAGTCTCCAGGGTTAGGGTAAATGCTGTGAAGCTCTCAAGGGCCTGCTGTGTATGAGCAGGGCCGGGGAGGTCTTCAGGGTGTGGGTGAATTACTAACCCTCCTCAGGATTGCTGTGCAACTTGAGCCTCCTGGTGTTGCTTCTCTGACCCTGTTTCTTCTACTATAAAATAGGATCAATAACCCCAACCTTCTGGTGAAGCAACTTGATTTCAGACCATTCACATATGTAAGAGCGTGGGTAAAATTGTAACATTTCCAGAGTATCTCACCTGGCTTTAGTGCATCTGCATATCCTCAGGGGTGGAGAAGTTCATCTCATATCAATGGGTAATTACCTGGGCAAGGAGGGCTTGTCTGTACCTGAGAGGTGAGGGAGAGGGCTGGTTTTGCTGTTGCTGGAGCAGGAGAAACGGCCCAGGACTGCAGTTTTGTAAGCAATAAAGGGGTTTTAAACTTTATTTCTCTCTTTGACTGATTTCGGTTTTTAGAGGTATTTTGCCCCGGGATTTCCTCTCCCTGGACTTACAAAACTGCAGTCCCGGGCTGTCTTTCTCCTCTGCTCTGGAAGAAACCAGCAAGCAAACCAGCCCCCTCCCCTTAACCTCTCAGGTTCAGACACGCCCTCGGTTGCCCAGGTAATTACTCATAGGCTTGGAGATGAACTTCTCTCCACCCCTGAGGATGTCCCAAAGCCAGGCGAGGTATTCTGGAAATGCTACAATTTTACCCACACCAAGCCACCACCCCGGTGAGCTGTTGGCAGGATCGTTTTAGGCTTTCCAGAAGTTTCTTCAAAGCATCCAGTGAGTTTAGGGACCACGGATTATCTGCTGCCTCATTGGATTCACCACCGACTCAGCAAACCAAATCCTGCAGGAAGCGGGCTGTACTGCCTGCAGAAGTTCCCACCTGCCTGGCTCTGGTGCTGAGTCCCTCCCTTCTCTGGGGCAATGGCTGGTATTAGGGGCCTGGCCTCAGGAGTGGGCCTGTGCTCTACCTTTTATCCCAGCTGAAGAAACCTCTCTCCCGGCTTCTGTTTCCTCATGTGAAGACTGGGAGGCCTGCTAGACACCATGTCTTGATAAAGTGATAGCAATTCAAACAGCATGCCATCTGCCCAGGAATTCACAAACAAGTCACCGGGAAAGAATCCAGTGACCGTTAAAAGACCCCAGATTAACAAGATTTGTCTAACAGGGTTTCCCAACCACAGCCCTAATGATACTTGAAGGCAAATTAGTCTATGCTGTGGGGGCCATCCTATGCATTGTAGAATGTCAGGGCGGCATCCCTGGGTTCCACTCACTAGATGCGGGTAACACTACCCCCACCCCTGTTGTGGCAATCAAAAATGTCTCCAGAATTTGCCAATGGAAAACAGGGGCCTGGTGAGAACCCTAGGCCTAAAATGCAGGTAGGCTAACAAACCAGTGGGGAAAAGACCAAAGATGTGGCAACTGCAGGGATAACGCTGTCCTCTCACTGTCCCATAAACCAAAGGTGCCCCTAGATAAATATGCATTCGAATAAATAGAGGAACAAGAGCATGGCTGTGGGTAGGGAAACCCGCCAGACACACAAGGAAAAGATTCGGTGGCTTCAAAATAAAAATCAATCTCCATGACAAAAGTGGCCCTAAATCAAGTTGGAAGATAAAATGGGATAGTAAGAGGTACTAACTGGCCAGTGGTATACTCAGCGCAGGGCCTTGTATGCAGCTGGCACTCCATTATGGCTGCTTTAATCTCATGCAGCATCTAGTGATCCTCACCTCGACCTCCACATCCACCTCAGTTGGACCTCCTCCTCCCCTCCCGGGCCTGGGAGCTCCCCCCTGACTTACAGCTTCTGCTCGGGCAATGCTGTGCAAGCAGCCCTTATGTTCTGAGGAGGGTAGGGAAACTCAGGATGCAGGCTTGGCCGATGGACATCCTCTAGTCTCTGCAGGTCAGCCTGGAGAAGGAGGTATTCGCATCAGCTCAGTATGTAGATGGGGATACTAAGGCTCAGGACAGCTCTGCCCTGTGTCACCCAAGCACGGGCTCGGAGACTCGGATTGTCACTTTTTTATTGAGTTACAAGTTGAGATGTGCAGATTCGGCAGCACCCCCCAATCCCTCCCACCTTGGGCAACAGTAGCTCCCAGCGCCTAGGAATGGGGGGTAGGGAGGGTCTCGGGCAATGGGGCAGGGCCTCAAGGGTCCCTGAAGGGCTCATGGGTCCCAGGATCAAGCATGGCTGACACAGAAGACAAAGGGAGGGCTGGAGGGCCTGCCTTGGCCATGGCCTTAGGGGAAAGGGGGCTTCTGTACAAGGTCATCCTCTACTGGGGTTCTGGCTGAGGTCCTGAAACACCGATAGGCCTCGCAGGATGCAAGCTGAGAGCAGGGCGTTCACCTGGCTCTCACGGATGCCACGCCCTGTCCAGCTGACCTGGGGCCATCTCCCTGACCCAGCCCCGCTCACCGGAGTGAACGGCCTGCCCAAGTGGTCTGGCTCTGCAGACCTGGCGCCGTCTCCAGCTGCATCTTTCTGCTCTTTGGCTCACCAAGCGATGCCCACCCAGCGAAGCGACTACTTATTCTCTGCGGGTGCAGGCAGGGACTCTGGTAGAGCCTTGGGTGAGGGTTCGGGCTCCCAGAGAAGGAATTCGTGGAGCAGCGTGTTGACCATCTCTGGACACTCCAGCATCACCATGTGGCTGCCTTCATCAATGAGCTTCAGGAAAGCCAGGAGCAAGATCTACAGGAGATGCGGGCCAAGGCAGGTGATGGCAGAGCAGTGGCTGCCCTGGGGCTCCCCTGCAGTCTACCCTTCATCCCCCAACTTCCACCCAAGGGGGAGCTGAAGGATGGCCTCTTCTGTGTCATGTTCCCCACCCCTGCCAGTGAAGCCTGACTCCGTATGAATTCATTCCATACTTAGTAAGTGCCTGTGATATATCCAGCGCAGAATTTCTCAACTAAGGCACTACTGACATTTGGTGCAGGATCATTCTTGGTGCTGGGCGCTGTCCCACGCCTCGGAGGATGTTGAGCAGCTTTCTAAGCCTCCACCCACCATTCCTAACAACCAAAACAGCCTGCAGACATTTTCAGGTCTGGGGGTCAGAATCATCATTGGCTAAGAACCACTGTGGTCCAAGACTATTGTAAGTGCTACGGATCCCAAGACCCTTTCTTGGGAGTCTCTGACCTGGAGGTCCCCTGAAACCCTCTCCATCCCCAAAATCATGCAGCATGTCATTGGTCACTTACATAAATCCCAGCTGTGAAGAGAGCCTTTGCTGCAAGGAAAATGAATAATCCTAACACCTGTCCAGGGTAACCCAACTTTCTGGATTCTATTTTTGACTCTTGATTTAAGCACTCACTTCCCTGGGGCTGGAGCACAAGGAAGAATCCACCTGAACTGCCCATGCAGGGAATATGGGGATGTGGTAGATAGGGTGCCATGCCCCTACCTCAGCCATGCGCTGGTCTTCCTCCACTGGCACAAACTTGTCGTGCATGCCATGGACAAGCAGGACGGGCACGGTGAGCTCAGCATGATAGACCTCGTCTCCCTCAGGCCAGTATTGGCCACTCATCATGGCCCGCAGCACGAAGGATGACACATTGAATGCATTGCCCTCCTTCAGCAGCTGTTTCTCTTTGGCCCCTTGGCGGGCAAAGCCAGCCCTGGTGGTGGGGAGGCACTACTGGAACCCTTGTGCCAGCTTGGCCACCAGAGTTGTCCCCAATGCCAGCCCTGGCTGTTCCACTTCCCCTCCCACCAAACTCAGGGAGATGCCAGGGCCCACCAGAGTCACTCACTTGAGAAAGCTCCAAGCCAGGCAGGGTGACAGGCAGTGCAGGACGCACGTGGGCATGTTGAACACGGAACAGAAGCTAGGCTCCAAGGCTGTGGGGCCGCCGCCATTGATCATGATCACCTTGTGCACCAGGTCTGGGTACTCGTGTGCCAGGAATGTGCAGAAGGAGACCCTGCCCGATGGGTGGGTGGTGGAGAGGGTGAAAAGGCAGTGGTCAGTAAGGGATATAGGTAGTAAGGGGGTTAATGCCTCCCCTCACCAAGGGGCAGGTCCTTGAAGGTCAAAATTCTTCCCCTCAGGCTCATAGGCACCAGATGGGGGTGGGAATGGCATCTTCAATGCCCTGAAATTGTGAGACTGTGTGTGTGTGTGTGTGTGTGTGTGTGTCAACGTGGATCTTTTTTTGCTTTTTTAAAGAAAGGATCTAAATCCAGAACTTTCATCAGATCCCCAAAGGGGCAAGAAATACTCACTGCCAAGTATTAGGACAGCAATCTGATTAAACACACCCTTCTTTGGCTTCCCAAAGGTCACCATTTCCTGCGTATCCCTTCTCTTTAAGGATCTTCTCTACCTGGCCTAAGCTGCCTTATGCAAGGTGGAAGGATGTGGCCTGGGGAGCTCCCACAGTCTGAGTCCTCATTCCCTCTAAAGCAGGGTTTGTTTGGCAAATTATGGCCTGTGGGCTAGCCACTTGCTTTGGTAAACTAAGTTTACAATTTTGTAAATTTGTAAAATATTTTGTAAATAAGGTTTTATTGGAACACAGCCATACCCATTTGTTTATAATTCTGGCTGCTTTCCTGCTAGGACAAAGGGTTGTGAACTTCTAATAGAGACCTACCATGTGACCTGCATTCCAAAATATTCACTATCTGGCCCTTTAAGCAAAAGTTTGCCAACCCTCACTGTAAAGACAGATGGGATACTAGCAGGAGTCAGGTGGACTTGACTGTGCCAGTGACTTGCTGTGTGCCCTTGAACAGATTGCTTAACCTCTCTGAGCTTCTGTCTCCATATATATTAAATAGTAACTGTGCTGACCTCAGTGCATTGTTATGGGGTCACAGGAACTACCACAGAGGGATGCTCATTTAATTGGAGGAATCATTTAACATAAGCATACTGTTTGGGGATGTTATCTATAAATAAGCATAGCTGTTACTTCCCAGCTTGGCTTCCCTTCTTTTGGAAGCATGTAACATTTCTTTCTTTTGTCTAATTGCATGGGCTACAACAGCTAAAACAGTAGTTCTCAACTTTGCTAGCTGATCAAATCCTGCCTTTCCTCCTGATTCAAGGAGAGAATACCACTGGGCAGTGATCAAGTGGCCAGGTCCAGAACCTTCTATGGAATTCATTCTCATCTAAATGCTAGATTATCTATCACCTCTTTAAAGATGAGTGAATTACAGCAACCTATGCCCTTGTAAACAAAATTATGGGATTCCAGTTAGCCCTTCCTTGGAGTTCATGGGATCTCTAGAGCAACTGAGTTTTGAACTCAGTTGAAGACAGTGGTTCTAAGCCAGAGGTGA